AGGAGAGCAGGGACGAGCACTGTGCAGCACTCCACTAGTGATGCCTAAGGAGAGCAGGGACAAGCACTGTGCAGCAGCATCAGGAATGATGACACACTGCCTGGCACATAGAAGAGTTCAGGCACCATGTAGTTTGGATCATTTGTTAAAGGGACAGAAAGTCTGGAGAATTCCTAATTTCTCTAATCTTTAAGTTTCTCCATAGTTTGGTTATTTTCAAAGCATCCTGATGACTCCTCCTAGAGTACTGATGCTGTAATGGTCGGAAGGAATGAGGCTCCGGTGTAGTGTGGCAATGGTCTCTTCAGCTCTATAATGGATGCCTTGTGTTTTCTGGCTGAGCCATGAGGTAGACAGGCTTCTATTGTGGAGACTGAAAGTTGGCTGTGTGTTAAACACAAAACGGCCCTCTCTGACAAACATCTCTGGGTAGCTCTATCTGCTAGCCATGCTTCTATAGGACCTGCTGAATCTCAGGGACTTGAAAAGGTAATAGCTACACCTGGTACAGTTGCTGTAAGAGCTGTTGTAGGTTCAAGGTCAGCCAGCCTAGAGTACAGTAAGTAACTTAGAAAATGCTCAAGGTCAGCATGGAGCAGTAACTAACTTAGAAAAGGTATTTAGGGAATAAACGAGGCCCCAGCGGCTAGAGAGATGGCTTAGCAGCCAAGAGCACTTGACACTTTTGCAGATAACTGAGTTCAGTTCCCCGCACCCACATGGTAGCTCACAACCATTTGTCTCTACAGTTCCAGAGGATCTGATGCCCCTTTCTGGCCTTTGTGGGGACTAGGGACTCAATTGTACATTTACATGCATGGCCAGCAAAATGCTCATACACATAAAAATCAGTCTCAAAAAAAGCCCCATAAACTGTTCTCTGTGCATTTCAGGATTTCCAGGTAACTGTATTTAGGGTGCTTTGGTCAACACTGTCCTTTTTGGTGGCAGATCACAGCTCATAGCTGCAGCAAAATAGCTGCCAGTGTGTAACTGGGTCCCAGGAAAAACAATAGCATCTTTCTGCCACGATACTTGTGTCTTGCCTTGTGTCAGCATGCACCTTCTCTAGCAAGGCCCAAAGAGTCTGCGCTCAGGGTGTTCAGGAGCTCCACGAGCAACACTGTACACCTAACAGCCTGCCCTCCACTGACCCAGTGAGGCTGACTCAAAAGGACAGCTAAGTGATGGCAGTTCTGGACTCTTAGTACCTATGATTGTAATTAAAAACAGTTTGCGGGGGCTGGAGAGATGGCTCAGAGGTTAAGAGCATTGCCTGCTCTTCCAAAGGTCCTGAGTTCAATTCCCAGCAACCACATGGTGGCTCACAACCATCTGTAATGGGATCTGGTGCCCTCTTCTGGCCTGCAGTCATACACACAGAATATTGTATACATAATAAATAAATAAATATTTAAAAAAAAAAAAAACAGTTTGCTTTCAGTTTAGTACTACAAAAGTAGTATGCTGAAGCCCAGAGGGAAGTACCACATTTGTAATACTGAAAAATAATTTTTGAATATATGAATTCTAAAGCAATAATTTTACCAATACATTTACCTCAATTTTATTGTGTGCTTTTGCATTGATTTGTGTTGTTTTTTGAGACAGTCTCGCTATGTAGAAACTTGATTCATAAAGATCCACCACTCCCTGCCCCCGAGTGCTGGGACTCCATGTGGGAGCTCCCACATCAGCTCATTTACCTCAGTTTTAATGTTCAGAATTACCTGTTTCTCAGAGTAAAACTCGATCCCTTGACCCTGTTTGGCATTCTGAGTCTCACGCCCTGTATTGGCTTGAGTTTCTCTGGACTTGTTTGGAAGGAAGAGGGTGGGTGGTAATCTAGGAGACTTGGGTGCGAGACCAGAATGACTCCATTACAGCTGGAGCACAGCTGTTACCTGTCTCAGGAAATGTGGGGTGGTTTGACTTAGAAGTGTCGCTGGCATCTGTAGCAGCTTACACTGCTCTTGTTTCAGTACATTGGTGGTGAAGCAGAAGCTACCAGGTGTCTATGTACAGCCATCGTATCGCTCTGCATTAGGTAAGATGTAGATTGGACCTTCATTTTTGTTGTGTGGGGTCTTCTGGTACAGATGGGACTTTAGCATGCATATGTTCTCTGCAGTGTGGTTTGGAGTAATATTCATACGACACGGACTGTATCAGGATGGCGTGTTCAAGTTTACCGTGTATATTCCTGATAACTATCCAGATGGCGACTGTCCAGTAAGTGGACTATAGTTGATCCCTTCAGTCACTGAGGGGAAATCAAGGCTAACAGACTTCTCGATTCTTCTCCTGACTTTAGATGTTGTAATGAAATCAGCCTCATCAGATGTATGTTTCCCACAGCCAGCAGGGTTTGGTGCTTTATGCACTCTGGGGTCATGTACTCTACCTCCCTTTCTCCCCCCGGGGGTGTGGGTGAGCTCGGGGCTGTGCTGCACCATCCACTGTCTGCCTGGTGATAGTTATGCTGTGGGAGAAGAGAATCTCCTCTGTTGAAAACTGTTTACAGAAAAGTGGTTGTAGTTAAGGCCCTTATTGGGCTTGATCTGTTTAGCTCATGGCATCCTCCCACTCAAGTGTTTCTCTCTACACATAGCGCCTGCTGTTCGATATTCCCGTCTTTCATCCGCTAGTTGATTCCACCGCAGGTGAACTGGACGTGAAGAGAGCATTTGCAAAGTGGAGGCGGAACCATAATCACATCTGGCAGGTCTTAATGTACGCACGGAGAGTCTTCTACAAGATCGACACCACAAGTCCCCTGAACCCAGAGGCTGCAGTACTGTATGTGATTTTTACTGTTAACTTAGGATAAGCGTATTGTTTACTATTACTATTTAAGATAAGTTGGTAAAGTTTTCAAACTTTTACCACAGGTATGAAAAAGACATTCAGCTTTTTAAAAGTAAAGTGGTCGACAGTGTTAAAGTGTGCACTGCTCGTTTGTTTGACCAGCCCAAAATAGAAGACCCCTACGCAATTAGGTAAGTAGTATGTCTCCTGGCCTTTTACACTTCTGCTTTAGAGAAACATATGGAATGTTGGCCTGGAGCTTTCCACTTTCTGTCAGCTCAACTCCTAATGGCACTTGGGCTCTTGACCTTAAACCAAAGGTTTTGTGTGGCTACACTACCAATAATGGAATACTTAGTGACTTTGGTTTCCTGAGAATCTGTCAAGTGCTCCTTCATTTTTTCATGTGAGGACAATGAGTTACTCTCTATACCCTTCTTCATGGCCTAACATACATACAGCTGAAACCACCAATTTCAAACTATTCCATAGTGCTTGCTCAACTCTCTACTCTTAGTTGAAGTAAACATAACTTACCTCTAATATATTCAGAAAAATGTATCTCAAGGTCCACAATAATTTGGATTACTGAATTACATCATCCAGCCCAACTCCTTACCATTTAGATTTGGTGGAGAGAACATGCTAGAATAGAATGGAGGCCCTATAGTGCAGTGCTGTGTGTGGGCTCAGCTGATGGACTGCTTGGTTTCTGGACTTTCTAGCTTTGGATTATTCTGCCTTGTTTTCTTCATCTTTAATATTTCAGGGGTGGTATGAGGTTTGTAGGGATAAGTCTATTTATAAGAGGTAATTATGATATGAAACACTTTTAGATAACACTTTGAGGTAATATCAGTGTACATGCTAGCAACTGATTAAAAATTGCTCTTTAGCGGGGTTGAGGAGGAGTGGTGGTGACGGTGGTGGCGCACGCCTTTAATCCCAGCACTCAGGAGTCAGAGGCAGGCGATCTCTTTGAGTTTGAGGCCAGCCTGGTCTACAGAGCGAGTTCCAGGACAGTTAGGGCCACACAGAGAAACGTTAAAAAAAAAATTCTTCCTTCTTAAGTTTTATTAGCATTGTCTCAATTGGATGCTGTACATGTTTTGAAAGCCGTGAACTGTTTTTAATATTTTCTGCCCTTCAAGCTTTTCTCCATGGAACCCTTCTGTACACGATGAGGCCAGAGAGAAGATGCTCACTCAGAAAGTAAGTGCATAACCAGTTTTGACATGGCTATCCTAGTTTCTTTACTGTCTGTACTTGAGGCCACTGGTTACATCCAGCTGACTCTTGGGGAAACTAGTCAGTATGATTCGGAACTTGCTCATCAGTATTTTTTTTAAATGTCTGTTTTTGATTGTGCCTAGAAGAAGCCTGACGAACAGCACAATAAAAGTGTTCATGTTGCTGGCCTGTCATGGGTAAAGCCTGGCTCAGTACAACCTTTCAGTAAAGAAGAGAAAACAGTAGCAACCTAAGAGATGGTGGATCTGGTGCACCATGCACTTTCCTGCTGGACTCTGGCCTAGTTAGAGCTGACTAATGGCGAAGGACGGCCTGAAGAGTAAACCGCGTGAACAGTGACTGGCTCTCAGTGTTGTGTATGCGTAGGTTCTAACAGCAGGGTGTGGAGACCTCTCATTGAGTAATGCGTTACTTCTGTCAGAAGTGTCAGGGTGAATCTAGTTCAGTGCTCCAAATTATTGGGGACCTTGAGGCTTAAGTATTTTTCTGAATATGTTAGAGGTAAGTTGTGTTTACTTTAACAGCGGAGAGAATGAACACTAGGTGGTAGTTGGAAGTTGGTGGTTTCAGCTGTACATACTTTAGGCCACGAAGAAGAAGGGTGTAGAGAAGAGATCCAGAGGGCAGCACTTTCAAGTAGAAGACTGGCTTTCCGGCTTCAGCCTGCTGACTTGCTGTAAACGTCTGTCTCAGAAGCATTAGGAAAGTAGGCAGAACCAGGATGCTTGTTCAGTTCTTTTGTTTTGTTTTTGTTTTTTTAAAGCAAATTACTGTATTTTTATGGCCGGAGGAAGAAAGAAGTGTTCAAACGGTTTCTAATGAAGTCAGGTATTTAAATGGTGGATGACCGATGTGTTAGTAGAGATGAAATAAACCAATAAATGATTGTTGTCATTTATGCAGGACACTAATGCTCTTTTTCAATATAACTAAACAGACACTAATTTATAAGTGCTTTATTGAAAAATACACATATTTTCATATAAAATTACAGCAGCGGTACCAAGAGGTTTTATAAGTACTTCGCACAGCACTGCTCCAGTGGACAGTGCCAGGTCTGTTCTTTAGAGCAGTATCAAGTTACTTAGTAACTTGGCTTAGAAAGATCCAATTTACAATTGAATTTTCTCCTTAGGATTATTAGTCCAACTTAAAAACGACTGGAACAATAATGATTAATAAAGATATGTGTAGATAATCAATAGCTGTTAAATAATTTTCTAATTTGTATAAATGGTACTATGTACTAATAAAAACCTAAATTCTCCAACCTATTTTTTTAACTTCCAGGAATACCCTCAAAGATATTTGAATTCTCGATTCATCTTAATTTAAAAATCTTTACTTAGCCAGATGATCCCTATGTAATGCCACTGCTACAAACTAGAGCATTTTACACGTGCTCAGAACGTGTTGCTATATCAAGTCCTTTAAGAAAAGCATTAAAATATTGGCTGTTTAGCCTAGAAGTCTTGTACCTACTAAAGTCCACACTATAGAAAGTGCCATCATAAATATACAGCAAAATCTGGGTTACAATGCCGTGCATTTTACAGCCCTAAAGTGCCACCAATTACACAAGCTCATTCACACATTGCACAACTTTTGCACTGTACCACATCTCCTGGGGAAGGGACAGTGCTCAAGGGAACAGGAGCCTTAGGCAAGTGCCTGGAGATGTCCAGGTCTGGGCCATCCCCTCTGTTCTGTTTCGTGAATGTAAACATGGCAGGTGTTTTCATCCTAAAGCACATGGTTGGACCTAATCATAGGCAAATGGGAATGAATTGAAATACAATTCCTCTGCTGGGGCACACCTATACAACTTCTAAAGTTTTGTTTTCTGCAATACTTGTAAGAGTTTACCAGAGTTAAAAATCCAGGTTTGGATTCTGGGCAGTGTTGAAGGTAAGCACTCAATAGTAGGGGGAGAGGCAATTGGGGTGAATAAAAACATCCTGAAGTAAGTCTAAATTCTCACCACAATGTCCTTCCTTTTTTGTTTGTTTCTGAGTCAGGGTTACAGATAGCCCAAGATGGCCTCAGACATGCCATGTAGCCCAGACTTCTGGTCCTCAGACTTCTGGTCCTCTTGCCCTCTGTCTCTTGTGTGCTAGGATAACAGGTATATATTGCTACACCCAGTCAGAGAGCTTCCTTTTTCTAGCAGGCTCTAATCTATTGCTGGATTAAGGAGCAATGTTCCATAATCCTGCATGCATTAACTGCTAAGCAGTTGATGTGAAGACAGTTTCCATACTGGAGGCTAACCTCAGTGTGAACCTCGGTCGTTGGCTACATCTTGGAGACGACGTAACAGGGCAGAATGATTTTCTGGGCAAATTCTTTTTGCAGGTGATTCACTTCCGTCGTCTAAGAGAATCCCTCTCTTTTTAGTTGGAGTCTCTCCGGTCCGTATCATACTGTTAATTTCTCTCAGTCTCTATGGTGAGGAAAAAGCAGATATTAAAACTTTAAAAATGCTAAAGCACATTGCTCAGTATTAAGCTAGAATCTCGTGGATTCAGCAGTTTAAACATTTAAATTAACACCTTTGCAGAAAGAAAACCCAAGCAGATCCGCCAGGACACTGCTGACTCTGGGTCAAGCAGAGCGTTTGTGTTTTTAACAGACTTCCTTGGTGATTGTGGTACACATATCTACAACACACATACTCAATACCTGGTTCTAGAGTATCATAGTTACGTCATGTTTAGTCACACGTCCACTTTGAGATTTTTGTGTGAGTGCATGTGTGGAGGTGTGCATGTAAATGCATGCTGTGGAGGTCAGAGGACAACTGCAGAGTTTTTTCCTTCTACCTTTATGTGGGGCTGTTGTGGCAAATGCCTTTACCCACTGAGCCATCTTGACAGCATGACTTGGAAGTTCAGTGGCTCACTCCTATGATTTCACCACTTGGGAGCAGAAGCAAAAGCACTGCTGTAGGTTCAAAGTCAGCCTAGCCTACAAAGGACAAGGTCAGCTGGAGTTACATAGGCCTTGTTGTAAGCACCACCCTTCTCTTTTCTTGCTTTGAGACAGGTGTCACTGTAGCCCAGGCCAGATTGTAACACACTCTAAAGCCCAAGCTGGCCTCACTCACAGCATCTCTCCTGCATCACGTTCATGCATGCTAGAATGAAAAATGTGAGCCACCATGCCAAGGTTTTTATTCATTTTGAGACTAGCTTTGAACTCTGCAGCACAAGCAGGACTCAACCTTGTGATTTTCCTGTCCCCAGTAGTTGGGATAACACCTGAGCCACTTGTTTTCTACCTTCTCAACCACAATTTCACTAGAGAAATAAGCTTTGGTCCTGAAGGCATTCATTACAGGTAATGGATGCTTAGTGGCCTCTGGAGGCATGAGTTCTTCGAAGGGAGAGCTGAGGAGTTATTAAAATTATTTCTGAGGTTCAGTGACTTCAGTGAGCAGTCCAATGAAGAAAGAAATCAGAATATGTCATTAGGATTGTTTCTCGGGCCTCAAAGTCTGCTCAGAAACTATTCTGGTACCTGTTGGCTCAGATTTTTGTTCATGTTTCTTATTTAAAGAGGATATTGAGAATGTTAACACACACATAGTTTAAGGAATCTCAAAGTAGTGAATTAATAGTGAATCCTCCACCACCCTGCTTGGACAATTCTGGTCACTTTTCATCTCTCAGATTTTAAAATGCACATCCTAGGGCTAAGGCTGCAGCTCAGTTGGTAGAATGCTTTAGTCTAGCATGGAAAAGGCCCTGTGTTCAATTCCCAGCATTGCATAAATGGTATGGAGGTGCACACCTAGAATACCAGCACTCTGAGGTGGAGGCAGAAGGATCGGAAGTTCAAGGCCATCCTCAACTACACAACAAATTTGAGACCAGCCTGGGCTACATGAGACTTAAAAGAATAATATATCCTAGACATTTCACTTACTTTTTGTTGTTACTGCCTTTTTGTGGTCTGGGGATTAAACCCAGGGCCTAACACATGCCAGATAAACACTCTACCACTGAGCTCTAACCCATCATTTTAATTCTTTACTCTGAAATAAATTGAAAATTTTTAATTAAATGTATATTGTCGGCATATGTATCTTCAAAAATTTAAGTATCATAAGCAAAGCTTTCTTTGATCCTTTCTCTTCTACCCTTTGCATTCTAAAGACGTCTTGTCTGCATTTGCTGTCTCTACGGGTCTCCAGCTTACCCCAGTATTCCTTATATTGCTCACTGACTACATCAGTTGATTAAATGCTACATAATTATAAAGTTACTCTTCATTGTATAGCTAGATAACTTAATCATAGCACATTTATAAAGTACATTTTTGTAGGTAATTATGTTCATACAGTACATAATATTTTTTTCACAGTTCAAACATTCAAATCTTAACACTTGGGGAGGGGTTACCAAGTTGTACTTGTGGGGTCAGAGGGTAGCTTTCATGCTTTGTGCTTTTTCTATACACAATGCATACTTGGCTTCTTTATCTTGCCTTTTTACATATGACAGAATCTAGAGACCAGAGATAAATCAAGTGAGAATTGACACCGGAAGGGAGGCATCAAGGTCTCACCATTAGGGATGAAGTTAGATCAGCAAATTTGCATGAAATCATTTCTTTCAAAGATGTTTTTATTGATACAAAATGATTTATTTTTATATTTTTGAAGAGTTTATATAGAACTGGCATTACTTCTTCCTTTAATGTCTTGTAGAATTCACTGATGTAGCCGCTACCTGCAGCTCCAGTTTTATTTGAAATGTTTTTTAAACTAGAAATTTCAGACTGATATAGTAGACCTGCTTGTTTTCCCGCCACTGAGGAGGCTGAGGCAGGAAGACTGGCGGGAACTTGAGGTCAGCTTGGACTATAGCATAGTGGGCTAGAGGGATGGCTCAGGGTTTACCGAGGACCTGGATTTGATTCCCAGCACCCACATGGTGACTCACAACTATCTTTAACTCCCAGTTCTAGGGGATCTGATGCCCATTTCAGACTTCCCCAGGCACCAGGCACACAAATGGCATACATACACAAATGTAGGCAAAATAGTCATAGACATAAAATCTAAAAGCAAATTTAATCAATATTGGGCTCCTAAGGCTACTTCTTATGTAGTATAGGTACATCACAGAGTCTGTCCATTTCTTCTGTGCCTTCACTTTATAGGCATGAAAGTTACCCCTTAATCCTCAAACTTCTTTCAGTGTGTGTATGTAGTGTGTCACTTAGAAATGTTATTAGAATTCTCAACTATGACTGTATTTTTCTCTCATCTCACATCTCTCATAATTGAGCACAGAGCTTCGTACATGCGAGGCCAATGCTTTAGCGATGAACTATATTCCCAGCCCAGGAAATGAATCTCTTGGTCATATACTCATTGCTCTGAAGTCCAGTTTTCCTGTTACACATAACTACTCTAGTTCTCTTTTAACATGGTGGTAGTATGATATTTTTTAACATTCTTTAACACAGCCATATTGAGACATAATTTACATACCATATAGTTCACTCATTTAAAGTGTGACTCAAGTGGTGTCTGCATGGTACAACCATCTCCACATACAACCTTACTGCTCCCAGAGAAATCTTTTCCTCTAGCAGAAATGTTCCCCTTTTTCCTAATTTCCTTTCTGCCTCTATATATCTGCTCATTATGAGCATTTCACCAAAGTAGAATCATATGTAGTCTTTTATAGCTAACCTAACTCCCTGCCATGTTTTCAAGACACTGGAGCCTGTACTAGTACTTCGTCTTTGAGGACCACATACATGTTTTATTCATCAACTACTAGACATTTGGATTGCCATCTTGGAACTCACTCTGGAGACCAGGCTGGCCTCTGCCAAGTGCTGGGATTAAAGGTGTGCACCACCACCACTAGGCAGGATCCATCCTTTAAACTGTCTGTGTTTTCACATTTGAAGCAATTGCATTAAGTATATCTAACTTCAGATGGCCTTAGTTAAACCTACAAACAGATTGATACCAGTTGATCCCAAAAGCAATTGCAGTGGTATGAGATTTCCTGTATTGGGATGTATTATTTATAAAACTGGACTTGCAATTTTAACTAAATACATTGCCAGATGGGTTGAGGTGGGGGGAAGGGGGAATCAAATACATAAGAGGGCTGGGGAGATGCTCAGTTAACAGAGCTGTAACAAAACAAATTTGGCTTGTCATAGCTTCCTCAGGCCTCATCTGAGCCTGTCTACATTACTACCAATGAGACAGCCTTTGCCTTAAGGCCCTCACTTTCTTCTCTGCTTCTTGGATGCACTTCTACATCTCAGGGACTACGTAACTCTTCACCAGCAAGTCTCAAGTTTCCCAGCTCTCAGACTAAGGCAGATGCTACCACATATGTCTAACCCTGAGCTCTCTGTTTTTTTTCCCCTATAAACAGGGCCAAAAGACAGAGACACTGTCCATTGCAGAAACAACTTGGTAACCAGTTTAGGGGTCCAAAGTTTCTATTCTGAACAGAAATAGAAAAAATAAAATCTTACAAGTGAAAGAAAACTCAATGTCCAAAATTTACAGATAGGAAAGGAGGCAAGAAAAATGGAGTTAGTTCCCCTATTTTATTTCTAATCCTGATGTCCTCAGCAATCAAACCAGTTCACCCTGGGTTTTGTCCCTTGTGACTTTCTGCCTTCTGTTGCCTGGCAGCTACCATTGCTCTAAGAAATACACTTAGCAAAAGTTCTATTCCTCGTATCCTGATGCACTTTAGAGTTAGCTAAAGCCATTTCTGTAGGCTTACCTTTGATGGGCTGTTGTTGAAGTAGTAAAAAATCTTCTCTCGAGGAGAAAGCATTGCTTCGTTTTTATGTGGGGAAATGTAGATGGGATGGTTCTGAGACAACTGGACTCGGCGAGGGGAGCCTGCCCTTACAAATGGATAGGGGGAGAGGGAAGGAGTGTCCATCTGTTGAAAATAAAATCAGTAATTCTGAGGAAGGAAACTTGTAGCTAGGGTGTATTAAAAGTCATCAATTTTACTGAGTGAAAGGCATAATAAGCCAGAAGCCTCTGAATGCTGAACAGCAATGGATCAGCAACAATCAAAGAAACTAAAGAGACTTAGACAGCTAACATGCACAGGTGCTCAGTTCCCGCCAGCCTCTCTGCTAAGCATTTTTATACATCATTTAATGCTTACAACAACCAGATAAACTATTAATTACTACTATTCTCATTTAGAATATGAGGTGACAGCAAGCACAAAATTTAGTCATTTGCAAGGCCATCACCGTTAAATACTCCACAATCTGAATTCATGTGGTTTCTGTCTCCTGCTAGACGCAGAGAATTCTACACAGTCTTATTCATACTGCTGAGTATCATCAGAAATTATATTGATTAGACAAGGTACTTGTGTTGGTTGGAGACATTCTTAGTTTTATTTAATGAAAGAATTATTTGTAAGTCTAGTTTATGATGGAAAAGGTCAAACAAATGATTCCTTCCCCTCAGGAGTAAAGGCAGCACCCAGTGATCCCGATGCACTTACGTTTGCCTGCGAGTACTTCATGGCAAATGTTTGGATTTGTTTGATGTAGACGTTGTTGTAGAACTGAATGAGGTCTCCTCTCTCCTCCTCTTCAATGTCACTGTTGGCACCTGTCAGCCGAGTTGGGGTAGGAGGGGCACTGCTGGGCTGTGGAACTGGTAAGGTGCTGTTTGACCTCATAACTGGACTGGAATCTCTACTGGCTGCAGCCAAGAGAACAAAGGGTGGTCTGGGTTGTTTGAAAAAAGACACTTCACTAGGAAAAGGGGAAACATCTATATGTGTGCATCAGTCATCAACGGCAATAAGCAGGCACTCTGATTCTTTGGAGATTGGTGTGTGTCATTCGTGTGTTTGCAGGTACTTGTGTGTGGAGGCCACAGGCCAACATTGGCTACCATTCCTTGGGAGCTATCTACCTTCTTTCTGAGCCAGGGTCTGTCAGTGTAAACCCCAGTGATCTACTTGTCTCTGCCTCCCAAGACCTAGGATTACAAGTGCTTGCTCCCATGGCTGGCTTCTTACATGGGGGCTAGGGATCAAATTGGTCTACATCCTTGTGCACCACATAAGTTACTGACTGGGCTACGTCCTCAGCCCAGTATTATCATCATCATTATTTATCATCTTGGTGAGAAGGTCTCACTCTATAGTCCAGGCAGGTCTGAGCTCTCAGTCCTCCTGCCTTAGTCTTAGTAGAGATGAAATTATAGGCGTGGACCACCATCCCTGTATCTTGAGCTCTGTTTTTCATACCAGGAAGCAAAGCTCAGAAATAATTTTATTCCCTTATTATAACTGTACCACAGGTTGACTGAGTAGTTTATATTAGTAAGTTACACAGAGGCTTCTGGAACCTGAGCCCTGTACTAACAAGTTTAAGTCAAGAACTAGGAAGAATATTTCTAATAGCACAGGTCTAATCAACAGGCAAGCTCTTTCTGGAATTCAGGCTAGAAATTCCTATCTGAAACATGTTATTCTCTAAATGCCTCAAAGCACTGGAAGAAAGGACAACTGACCACCAAGTTTAGTTTATTCCAACAAATTATCTGAGGATAAACTACATGTATTTTTATTTTAGATTTCTTAGTCTTTTGACCTAAAAATTAGATGTTCATAAAGATATGTCTTTTTTACCTCTGTCTTTATTTAGTTCTGTTGGAGAATTCTGGTGGCTTCTGCTGTCACTGTTGCCAGAATTTCTTCCTTTCCTTCTCCCTTTTATCAAAACACTTCTGTATACCTTTAAAGAGACGGTGAGACGGGGGCAGAAACCAGCGTTTATTAACTATATACTAGCTGGCAGGACCTTGATCCTCACAAAAATACACTTAGTAACGGTTGTCTTCTGGGAATGTTCGGAATGGCAACCAAGTTAGGCACTGTGCATGTCTGTGATACCAGCCCTCAGAAGGCTAAATGAGGAGGGTTGCAAGTTCAAGACCAATTTGGGCTACTATCTCAAAAAGAAAAAAATAACAAAAGCTTTGATCTAGCCAGATGTGGTTATATGGGCACACACACACACTTGTTAAGAGCAATAAACAGATACTCTAATTCTCTAGGATTTCGTGTGTGTGTGTGTGTGTGTGTGTGTGTGCGCGCGCGCGCACACACACACACATTCTTTTAAAACCAGCACTCACGAAGCTAAGGCAGGCAGATCTCTGTGGGTTCAAGGCCAGCCTGATCTACACAGTGAGTTCCAGGCTAGCCAGGGCTACAGAGCCTGTCGCAACAACAACAACAAAACTTTGTGAGCTAGGTCCCAGAAGCTCTTCCCTAACAGCTTATACCAGAGCCTATCTCATACAAATTCTAAGTACTGCCTAAAACTCTACAGAGCAGTACCAATACTGACTGTAAAGTCAAGTTATTTTAAGAAACAAGTCTAACAACATTCTTGGTTTTCAGTGACAAATGAGCCATGTTCAAGATAAAGTGGGTTTTTAATTTTCATTCAACATTGTCTTAGATGATTACTGTGCTTTTTACTAAGCCAGACATAAAGGGGACATGAAAATCAGTTAACTTCTCTGAATTAAGAAATATGTCACAGGCTGGAGAGATGGCTCAGTGGTTAAATGAACAGTTGCTCTCTAGAGGATCTAGGTTCAATTCTCAAAAACCCCACAAGATGGCTCACAACAGTCTAACTCCAGTTCCAGGGGATGCAATGTCCTCTTCTGGCCTCTAAGGGCACCAGGCACCCAAGTGGTACACAGATACATATGCAAGCAAAGCACCCATATACATAAAAGTAAATATTTCACAACATTGCCTTTGCAGGAAGAGGACTTTAAATAACTTGCATGAAATTGAATGCCAGTGATGTAAAAGATTAAAACAGCCAATCCCCTTAGATTCTTGGTTATGAGTCCTGGTGGGGAGAAGGCACAGAACTAACTATAGCTAATTGTTCTTTTTAATTCATCACAGACTTAAGCTTTACTTTCAGCCCTGAGAGAAAACATGGTTACCTGGCTCCGGGCCTGTGGCTGAGTCCTGTAACAGCGCATGATATTCTGGAAGGATCTGTCTTCTTTTGTGACCTACAAACAGAGAATACTTAGAGATCCACACCAGGCATGGCAGAGTGAACAGCTCAGTGAACCTTCTGCCACTGTATTCAAAGACTGTAGAGCAAATGAACAAGCAGCTATTCATGAAAATCTGAAGTTTAGTAAGGAGCCTGGTATGTAAACCACAACCCGTTATAGAAAAGTACAGTAACTAAACTGAAAAGTTGACTGGAAGTGGAACTTGGTAGATCTGAACTGGAAAAGAAAAAAAAATCAACAAACTTGCCCAAGGAGTATATTGTCTGAAGAACAGAAAAACACAGAACTTGGACACGAGGAATCACATCAGCATTCATGGAACAACAGTGTCAAAAGAAGAGGACAGAGGTAGCGAAGCAACAAAAGATGTTCAAAGAAATAAAGACTTAAGCTGAGCATCATGGTAGGCAGGGGCTGGAGGATCAAGAGGTTCAGGCTAGCCTGGGCTACATAGCAAGACACTGAGGTAAAAAAAATAAAAAGACTGACAAGCAGCCAAGTTTACTTTAAAACATTATTGTACACATTCAGGGAGCTTGTCAAACAGCAGACTGAATCAGGCTTATCATAGTAAAAATCTAAAGCCATAGAAAGCATTGAGAAAACCATTTTCCCTTTACAGGGAAGTCAAATATGGTAAGAGCTGACTTCTCATCAGAAACTGTACAAGTGGAGCAACAGATTCACAAAGGTCAAAAAGAAAAGCATCCTGCCCACTGCAAATTATCCTTTCAGAAGTGAGTAAACAGTAAACAGTTTGCTGCTAACAGCAGCCCTCACAGAGAGGCAATGGAAACAAGTGAGACAAACATACATGCAAAGGGCCAGGAACACTTGTAAAGCATTAACATATCAGAAAGACGGCAAATGCATGTGTGTGATGTTTTGTTGTAGCTGTAACAGAAATATACATTTAACAAAAATGTGCAAAGGAGGTGGGTAGGGTATTAAACAAGTGACTGCAGATACCACTTAAACCCACAGGAACCAATAAGCGGAAATGTAAGGAAGGGCACTATAACAGCAGCTATAAATGCACACATGCCTTTACTTGTTCCTTTAGAAGTCTTACCACTGAGTCAAGGTAATGGTGGATTCGCAGTACTTCCAGTGGAATATATATAAATACATAAACAATACCCTCACAAAAAGGTAAATGGGGAAAGAGAACACTAATGCACGTATATCTTGTTGACATGAATTTGAAGCTAAGTTCTGAGGACTTAAAATATGTGTGTGTGAGAGAGAGAGAGAGAGAAAGAGAGAGAGGAAAGAAAATATAGCAAAAAATAGAAAATACCTAATTCAAAATAAAGAAAAAAGGAGAAATAAAGGAACAAAGACATACAACAGAAAGCATTTATATAAGATACCTAGAAAATAAGTACCCAGGCCTGGTGGTATCCCTTTAATCCTAGCACTCAGGAGGCAGAGGCAGGTGGATCTCTAAGAGCTCAAGGCCAGCCTGGTCTACAGAGCAAGTTCCACGACAGCCAGGGCTGTTGCACAGAGACCCCTGTCTTGAAAAACCAGAAAGAAAAAGAAAAAATCCAGAAAACAAGTAAAATAGACAAATGCAGTAGAGACAGTAACAACATACGCAAATGATTAAACACACGGTGTAAGACTGGGAAAACAAACTGTTTTGGGAGACACTTTACTTTAAAAATGCAAATATGTTTGACAGTAAACAACACATATGTTTACTATATAGTTATCCAAAGAAAGCTGGGTTGCTATAAACTATTAAACTGTAAAATAGGTTTTAGAAACAAATATTACTGAAGGGTTAGTTCACAAAGATCAATCCATCAAGAGGCTGTAATAAACATTAGTGTGTCTATTAATAGGGCACCAAATAATAAACTCTAAGACAGAAAAAAGTAAAACAAACAACCTAAAAATATAAAGATTTCAATAACAAAACTTTCAGCAATAGAAGATCTAGGCAGAACATCAAAGAGAAAACTAACAAGTCTCTTAAACAACTTGACCTAACCTAACAGACATCTAGAAAACACTATTTTCTTGATGGCAATAAAATACTTGCTTTGTTTTTTGGGTTTTGTTTTTGTTTGTTTGTTTTCCAATATGGGGTTTCTCTGTGTAGCTTTAGTGCCTGTCCCAAAACTCGCTCTATAGATCTGCCTGCCTCTGCCTCCGAGTGCTGGGATTAAAGGTGTGCTCCACCACCGCCCGGCTAATACTTGTTTTTCTTAAACAAATGTGGAAGGCTAGTGACACTGCTCAGTTGGTACAGTGCTTGCCTATCATGCACAAGCCCTGTTCAGGTCACTTTCAATCCCAGCACTGGGTAAACTGTCATGGCTGTACATACCTGTAACTCTAGCACTTAGGAATGAAGGAAGTTCAAGCCCCCTTTGGGCTACATGAGACCCTGTCATCAAGCAAACAAACTCTCAATACATTTAGAAGGACTTAAATATATAAAGTGTTTTTTCAGACTCAGTGAAATGAAACTAGAAATCAGCAACAGAAGTCTAGAAAACTCACAAAACTGGAAGTTACATGGCCCTGCAGGATGTACAAGTTAAATAGAAGCCATATGAAAATCAAATGTAATTTGAGATAAACATACATGATGCCAAGTTATGAGGTGCAGGTAATGCCTACTTTTGTAGTTAGTGCCCATATTTACAAAGGGTACGGAGATATTTTTTAAAGGCAATGAAAAATAATAATATAATCAGTTACCTAACCATCTGATGCACTTAGAAAAACCAAATAAGCCAAGATCCTCTGAGATGGCCCATGGGAAAAGATACTAGATGCAAGCCTAATGACCTAAAGGAAGAGCGAATCAACCTCTGGATATTGTTCTTTGACCCTGTGTGCACATACACATTCATACACACAACAGATTCATGCAATTTTTAAAAGGCCAAAGTAGACTTAAAGAAGAAAATAATACTAGGGTGTATGTTTATAGAGAAAATAAATGATATCAAATAGTCTTAGAAGTTCTCAAAATTTATCAACCTTTAGTTAGATTGACTGATAAGAAATGAAAGGATTTTACTATAGACCTTAAAGGACAAAAGGGATTATATGGCATTAACTCTGGAGAGACAGACAATGTCTTAGAAAGATGCACACTGCCAAAACTGACTCTAGAAAAGACAGGTGACCTGAATGAACCCATGAGAAGAATGGGACTGAGTTCATCAATAAATTACCCACAAAGAAAAGACAAGCTCCAGTGGCTTCTTTGCTAATTCAAACTTAACAGAATAAGATGAAATATTTCTTTTCCTAAAAGGCCAGATTTACCCCCGGAACAAAACCAGACAAAGCCATGCAATAAAATTTCAGACAACAGCTGTGAGAAGTACAAAATTCAACAAACTAGTAAACCAAACATGAAAGCAAAACTTATCACCATAATTAAAAGGGATTTGCAAATGATCCATCATGAAACCCAACCAAGGTAAAATACTATATCCTTAGAGTATCAAAACTCACAATGAACACAGAAAAAGACCTTTAATAACATTCAACATTTTTAATGAAACAACACTCAATAAGCCAGGAAAATGCTTTCACTGGATTAAAGCAGTCTACCTGAGGTTCAGGTGAGGTGGGGGATATATGTAACACCATATTCCAATAGTGAAAGACTTGTTGTTTTCTCCCTAGGACTAGGAACACTGCACTGGAGGAGCCATGGTAATTAGGAAAGAAAGGTAATTTGGACAAACAGTAGTACAATTATTAAAACTTCATAATCTGCACAAAAAGTCGACACAGATCATGATTAAAATCCACTAGACCAAGAGGTTCAAGACTGGGATTTAATAGAATGCTTGTCTAGCATTGTAATGGCCCTAGGTTCAAGCCCTGCACCAAAAAAGTCAACTAGCTTAACAAGGTTGTTGGACACTTAAGACAGAGAAACCAACTGTTCATTTACTTGCAATGAATACATCAAAAATGAAACAGTTGCATTTACGATACCATCAAAAATACAGGAAAATTAACAAGGGCAAGAGTTACATTCTGAAAAGCACAAATGTTTTTTTTTAAAAAAAGGAAGACCTAAATAAATGTGAAAACATACCATGATTATGACTGAAGACTGAAATTAAGATGAGTAAACTCCCCAACTGAGCTACAGGTTTTCAAGGGACTCTTTTATGACAGTGATATATTGATTCTAAACTTTGTGTGGAATTCCAAGAGACTGAGAATAGCTAAAATCAATGAAAAAATAATAAAGTTAGGATTCGCATCTCCCAATTTCAAAATTTACAAATAAACAAGCGCCATCAAGAGTGTAGATTATTACGTGTGACGGATGCAGATCAACATAAGACTGACAGTCTCGATATAACCCATGTGTCCATGATAGCCACTTTCACAGACCATTCAGAGAGATGTGTCTTCAGTAATGATGCGGCAACCAGAAAACAACACAAAATGAGGAAAACTAGACTGGAATCTCAGGATAAGCCAGAAACTATAAAATTTAGAAGACAGTGGTAAGGGTTCATGATCTTGGCCCTCAAATTTGGCAACGAAAAATAAATCTTTTTTTAAGTATCGATGAGAAACTAGAGGAATTAAGGCTTTCATACACTGCATGTAGGAATATAAAATGGAATACTTTGAAAAGTAAACTGGTAGTTCCTCAATGTATAAACATACAGTTCCCATATGATCGACAGATCATTACTAGGCATTCACTCAGGGAAATGGAAGCCAGTATCTACATACAATCTCATCCACAATGCTCTCCACAATGTTGTTCATAACTTTCAGAGAAAAACAACCCACATGTCCATTAATAGATGGCTAAAAATACTGCCCAATATCTATAAAATGGAATATTCCACGTGTGTGATGACTGCACATACTTGAAAATTGAAGTCTCGATGCACAGCTATTAAAAATGTTCTGAATCACCTTAGTGAGGTAACCCAGACCGGAAAGACAAACATGGCATGTACTCATTAAGTGGATATTAGCTGTAAAATAAAGGCTAACTGTGCTACAATCCACAGATGCAGAGACTAGGTAACAAGGGGGGGGTCATGGGAGGGATGCCCAGGTCTAATAAGGGGAAATGGAAGCGATTACATGAGTGAACTGAGGGCAGGTGAGGATGAGAACACAAGCAATCAGGTTGGAGGTTGGAGGGAAAGGGTGTTAAAAGAGACTACAGGAAACGGGGTGCATTTCAGGGTCAGGTGAAAACCTGGCACAAGGGAATCTCCCAGGAATCTACAAGGATGACCCCAGCTAAGACTCCTAGCAAAACAGATACGCAGCCTGAACTGTCCATCTCCAAAACCAGATTGGTGCCTAGCCATTGTCATCAGAGAGGTCTCACCCAGCAACTGATGGAAACAGATGCAGACCCACAGACAAACATTAGGCAGGGTTCAGGGATCCTGCATACAAGTGGGGAAAGGATTGTGGAGCTAGAGGGGTCAAGAACACCACAAGAAAATCAACTAACCTGAGCTCATAGTGGCTCACAGAGACTGAAAGGACAACCAGGGAGCCTGCATAAGACTGACCTAGACACTGCGTATAATGTTACAGTTGTGTAGCTTGGTCCTCCCATGGAACTTTTAACAGTGAGAGAAAGAGGCTGTCTCTGACTCTTTTTACAGGCTTTTGGGACCCTATTCCTCATACTGGGTTGCTTTGCCCAGCCTTAATATGTGGGAAGGTGCTTATTCTTACTGCAACTTGATATGGCATGTTTTGTTGATATCCATGGGAGGCCTGCCCTTTTCTGAAAAGAAATGGAGGAGGGGTGGATTATGGGGCAGGGCGGGCAGAAGGGAGATGGGGGAAGGGACTTGGGAGGAGAAGAGGGAGGGGAAACTGTTGCCAGGATGTAAAATAAATAAATTTTTAAAAATGTCCTATAGCCAAAGCAGGCCATTGGGGCTGAAGTTACTCTTTTGGCTGGTGGGCCTAAAGGTTATTCATCACAATAAAACCTCACGTTTTGTGGGGGGAAATGTTCTGGGTAACAAAGTAGCACTTTCGCCTTTTCAGTCTTGAATGTGCTTACCTTTGCCATCACGTAAATGGCACACATTAACAACTGGTCCAGATGTCTGTCCATCATCAGTTCAGGACACTGGATTATAGAGAATTCAAAGCAGGTCCAAATTTTTTTCCTCAGTTCATCCGAAATATCTAGTTTTGCACAAAGATCCCGAAGGCGGACACCAGCTAAGTGATAAACCTAACAGAGAAACGGGAATATGTCAAAGCTTATTTCATACTTACACCTGCCAAGCCTGTGCTCCAGTAAAGGTACATGAAAAGTTACCTTTCTAAAGAAAAGTGATAAAGAGCTAGTCTTCCGGGCTCGACTGCTGCTGCTGGTTAAAGGCTGGCCTTGCTTCTGCTGTTGTCCACCTGGGGAAATCTGCTGGACGGCCACCTGACCAGGGACTTGCAAAGTTGTTCCTGTCACCTGTTGGGAACTCAGGCTTCCAGCCAGGGCTTGAGCACTGAGGGGCTGGAGAGAGCCTGTCACAGCTTGTGCCTGGCCTCCAACATTGACCTGGACTGGGAAGAACGTTATCCCTCCATTCTCATTGGCAATACCTACAGTTTATTACAAAGGAAAAAAGGATTGTTGACAGGTTTCCGTTTCTTTCCTCCCCATCTTCCGTCACTGCTATTTTATACTGACACTCTTTCCAAGTCTTAGGTGATTGTCTAACAAATGCCAGAGAACTCAATCCCTAACTCTGCCTTCCTTACCTTGTACAGGAATGGTCACTGTTTGTCCATTGTTGGCCGTGACAGTGGCTGTTGCCATGGTGACCAAGGTCTGTCCAGGAACTGGTGTGACAGATACAGCCTCCCCAGATACATTCTGCACAGGGACAGCATTGACTAGGGGCTGTGGGGGGATGCGCCCAGATGTGCCTCCTTCAGAGGGGCTGTCATTCTCAAATAGCCGCCGTCTAATAGTGCTGGCTGTTGGGGAACTGTACCTGTCATATAATGTGGTTGGAGATGCTATACCTACAACCAAAAGAAACCACTCTTTAACACAGAAACAAATCTGACTTCCACTTAAGCTCTTGTTCATAGGGAAATACAGTGTGTTTCAGATACTGTTCATTGTTTAAAGCAGATAAAGTATACAGAAGTCATGGGACACATAGCTGTTCTAGCGCAAATTCAAGGAAAGCATTTCACAAAGGAAATCCCCGCTGTCTTGCAGATGTCTCTTCTTGGTCTTCCTTCCCAGAAGTCAGATTGGACCTTGTCCTCCCCCACCTTGTCCTCTGCCATATTTTGATATAGAGGCAATTTAAGGAATCATTTAATTTCCCCCATACTCAGATCTGAACAGACCTTACCTGACCAAGAGACATGATGACATGCTATCCAGCAGTTTTCCCCTCAGCTTCCCACGCAGGGAAGATTACTAACATTCTATATTCTTCAGTAAGGTAAACATATAAGGTTTTGATTTAACAAAGCTTTAGTTTTAATTAATTAATTAATTTATTTATTTATTATGTATACAATATTCTGTCTGTATGCCTGAAAGCCAGAAGAGGGCGCCAGACCTCTTTACAGATGGTTGTGAGCCACCATGTGGTTGCCGGGAATTGAACTCAGGACCTTTGGAAGAGCAGGCAATGCTCTTAACCACTGAGCCATCTCTCCAGCCCCAAAGCTTTAGTTTTAAATAGCTTTATTGAGATATGATTCATGTGCCATACATATCATCTACTTAAGTTATATAATTCAATGCTTATATATTAAATAATTTCAAAATTGTTGCAAAAATAACATTATCAGCATTTGTTATTTTTAAATACATAAATACAGCATTGTTTAACTATTAATACTTTCTTGAATATTCATTTTTTGAGACAAGGTCATTCTGTGTAGCCCTAGCTGTCCTAGAACTCACTGTTTAGCACAGGTTGGCCTCAAGCTCCAAGTGCTAGTATTAAAGGCATGCAACTCCATGCCCAGAGCAACTTTTTTTTTTCTTTTCTTAGTCACTCTACACAAAAACTAATTGTTATGGCTTAGTTTATTTTTAAGATTCTTACTGACATGTGAGTTTTTGGAATGTGAGCACTCCTTTCTTCCCTGTCCACTGTCTGTAAGACCTGCATGAATTGCTCTTTCAGATTTAAAAATAAAAGTAAGGAGTTCATAACAGACAACAAAAGTGAGTCCTGAAAGCTATGTCCTAACATCCCTAGACTACATACAAGACGACATAAAGACGGGCAGAGCTGTGGACCCAACCATGTAGATTCATAAAGAGAGATGTAGCAAGTACAAAGAATGGAAGTTTAATGTCAGTTTTCTTTCAGAGACTTGGGGAGGGAAAAACTACAAAAATGGAACTGAAGAAGACCAGCTTATCAGATCTGAAACCAGGTCTACGTACTGAAACAATTATTACTGTTCTTTGAGAGATAAGAAAGGGCTAGAGATGCCAAAGCACTTCTGCAGAGAATCTGGGTTTGGTTCTCAGCACCCAAATGGTGGCTCACAACTATCCATAATTATTCACTTACAGAGGACCCGGTACCTTCTGACCTCTGCAGGCACCAGGCACATACATGGTGCATAGACATATATGCAGGTGAAATACTCATAAAATAAATCTAAAAACAATTTTTAAATGAGAAAATTTCATGAAGTATTCAATTAGTGAGTTAGTTTTTTGTTGTTGTTGTTGTTGTTGTTATTGTTTGTTGTTGTTTTGAGTCAGGGTCTCATTATGTAGCTAAATTATGTAGACTGGCCTTAAAGCTAGGCTCCTCCTACCTAAGTCTTCCTTTACAGTGCTGACATTACAGGAATGTGCCACCACACCCTGAATAATCTATGTTTATTGAGTAGGCACTGATTTAGAGTGAACTTAATTTTAAAACCAATTCTTTTATAGCTAATGCTTATTAAGTACATTTTGAAACTGACCTAGTAATAGCAATGTTCTAATGGATTAGGAGCTTCTTTAAAATAGTTGTGGAGCTGAAAGTGTACTCAATAGTAGGATGTGTACTGTGCACTTGGGAGGCCCTGGCTTCAGTCTCCAGCACTGGGGGAAAATAGAAAAAAAAAATCAAAGAAGACAGACGCCCATACATAAATATAAATCTTGCACCTAGGCAGTCATCTAAGGAGCCAGCTATAACATAAGCCTGTATTTTCTGTACTTCCTGGCCGAGCAGAGATGTCACATTAACCTAAGTAGCACAGCGCTAACAAAGCTGAACATGGTCCAGCCATGGAGCCATCCTGTCTCACTGTATCTAATGGATCCCATAGCCAGCAAGCCTTAATATGTCAGGTGTGGTGGTACACATCTATATTCTCAGATGTTGAGTCAGAAAGACCAAGGATTGGAAAGCAGCCTGAGTGAGCAACACAGTGAGACTCCTATCTCTAATAAACATAACAAAACAAAACCATAAAAGGGAAGACATATTTGAAAGATTGAGAGAATTCACTGAGAATTCTCATTAATGAATTGTTAATAGTTTGTTTTCTTATTTCTGCCCTTTTGTGTGTTTATAGATGAAAATTCACTTACAAATGAAGACCAAATTAAATGTAAAGATATCTAAAAAGATAGCTGTAAGTATGGCATATCCCTGCAATCTTTGTAGTGGGTATGTGGATGCAAGAAGATTTAAAATTCAAGATCAGCCTGGGTTATACAGCCAGACCCTCTCTCAAAAAGGTTTTTTAATGTTAATATTACTTTAAAGCATATTTAAACTGGGTGGTGGTAGTGCATACCTTTAATCCCAGCACTCAGGAGGCAAAGACAGGACGATCTCTGTGAGTTCGAGGCCAGTCTGGTCTACAGAGCAAGTTCCAAGTTCCAGAACAGGCTCCAAGCTACCATGAAACCCGTTTTCCAAAGGGAAAAAAAAACCTATTTAAGTCAGGTGTGGTAGTGTAGTGACACACACCTGGGATCCACCATTTGGAAAGTGGACAGTCAGGAGTTCAGGGTCATCACTGGCTACATAGTGAGTTGAAGACCAGCCTGGACTACATAAGACCCTGTCCCAACTCTCTCGCACAGAAAAAGGCATTTTTACATGATTGATAGATCACTAAAAGACAGAATATTCTTTGCTCTGCATGGCTATTAACTTGACTTACAGGGTCAGATGAAGTTTAAGCATCTAGATTCAGGATGCGAACATTCCTCTAGTGTTAGACTCACCTCCTCCAAGTCCTCCAGTGTCAGCGCGTATTTCACTCACCCTTCTTGGGGGTAAGGGAGAGCCAGCAATACAAATTTCATCTGTCCTTTCTAGGTTCTGAGGTGGCATGACCTATAAAGAATTGTTTCCACAAAATCTTAATAATCAAGAACATTTCACTAGAAATAAAGTAACAGTCTAAGGCAAAAGGAAATTTTTGTCTGATTAGTTATTTCTTAACTGAACTACTAAAAGATTCAAACCAGTTACCTGACTGAATTGTCTGAACCAATGGTCCTGACTATCTGGAGAGTCAGAATTTTTACTGTCATGGAAATTGAGGACAGTTACAGGTTCTCAAGAAACCTGATTCTTTTTCCTCTTTGATTCAGGAATAAACCATTAATCACCCTGCAAACCCCTGTCCCCCGAGGGCAGAGCCTATAAACAATATTGATGTGCTTCCCTTACAGACAGATGGTAAGATACTGTCACAAACCTCCTCACAGGTAGGGACTCTGTGTTCATTCTCTCTAATTCTGTCCCACAGTGGGGACTCTGTTCTCCATGCCAAATGATCTAAAATTTGCCCTTCAATCTGGTTGAGGTGTTGGACCACTTCTCTGCAAAGACCATCTTCTGCTCTAATAAATACTTCTATTACCTGAAATAAAGAAAATTCCCGGGTTAACTAATAATTACTATGATTTTTAATGTAAAAGTCTTATGAGTATAAAAGCAAATGAAACATCTAAATATTTTTTAAAATATTCAATTTATCAGAAATCACAAGTTTAATGATGCAATACCATATGTAGCAAGCAGCTCTTCCTTTATAACATTTGTAAATAATCTACACATATGAATAATATAAAATATTTTGTATAATTATATATTTCAAAATTTATAAACAAAAAATACACTTTGTAAGTCGAGCCTGAAAACAATACTCTTAAAATTTTATATTAAAGGTGTGTGCTTGTAGGCTAAAGGCCAAAGGCTCACTTTCCAGTATCAATAAAACAAAAAATAATATTAAAAATCTCTGAACAAAAGCGGAGTGTGGGGGTTCATGCCTGCAATCCTAGTACTGAGGAAGTGAAGGCAAAAGAATCAAAAGTTTCAAGTTATTCTTGAGTTTGATGCCAGCCTGGGCTAGATTAGATTCCTTATCTCAAAAATAAGTAGGATGATAAAAAATTAATTTTTTTCCTGAAAGATCTTTAATACTAAACTCTCATAAATAAGAAAGGATGATATACAAAATTGGTGACATGAATGCTACTGTTTTAAAAAGATGTGTGATGTTTTGATTATGTTCTGACAAATAAAGCTTGCTTGGAGTCAGGGCGGGGCCAACCACTAGCTGACCAAAATTAACCATGAAGGTTTGGAAGACCACTGAGAGAGGAGACAGGAAGTAGTAAGGTGAGGTAGGAAGCTTGTGGCTGCTCCCCTGCTTCTCTGCTCCCTCAGGTGTTTACCCCACCTCTGACTCCTGTTCCTTTATTGATGAGATTAGTTAGATTTACACTTTCAAAAAGATTTATTTTTAATTAATGTGTGTGTGTCTTTATGTCCTGTGTATGGATGGGAAGGAGTTCAGAAGAGGGTTTCAGGTCCTTTGGATCTGGAGTTGATGTGGGTGCTGGGAACTGAACTTAGGTCCTCTCCACAGCAGGAAGCACGCTTTACTGCTGAGCTGTCTCTCCAGTCCCAGCATCCCCTCTTCTTACCCCTCCACCCTTGCTTCTCTTTTTCCCTTCCTTTCTGAGGCAGCCCTTGCTATGTAGCCCAGGTCAAGCTCGCAATCCTCCTACCTAAGCTTTTCAAGTACTGGATTACAGGTGTAATCCACCACATCTGGCCCCCTCTTTGGTCTTTAATCACAGTATTCTGCAGTCCTTTGGCAGATGGTAGAAGAAATCAGGTGAATGTTTCAGCCAAAAGAAATCTGCCATACTGCTGTATATTACAAGAATTTATATAGGTCTTAAGACTCTGTTTCACCTTAGTTCCCTACATAGAGATTATTAAATATTTAATAGGATAGATTTATATGTTTAATGTGAACAAGGTGGGTAGCAAGAGGTTGGTCTCATTCATAATCATCAGGATAATTTTAAATACCTTATAAAAATGATAATGTGGTACATCAAATATTTCAACAATAAATGGAAAATTCCCAGGAGGCTTATAGGAAAAAGCGACAACCTCAAGGCAGCAGGCCAAGAGTGACTTATGGAATGCGTCTTGTTCCAGAACAACCTATAAAACAAAGTAGCATTTAGAAACAGCAGCCCACTCTGAAAACCATTTCATATCCAGTTTAAATGTACTCATCATTTTATTAAAATATAGATTAAAGGAATATATAAGAACTTCCAAAAACATATGCTATGAAATACTTTTTTAAAGATATTTTAAAATGACAAACAACAAGCTTTTGGGGATATGGATTGCTGGTGGGAATGTAAAATATGAAATGCTGCTTTGAGAAATAGTATGACGGCTTTCAAAAGTTAAACATAAAATTACTGTATGAGACACTTGCCTCACCTCTGTGAGATTCTGGTCCAGTCTCCAGAACTACCATATGACACACCAACCCTAACTCTAGGAATAAAGAGCCATCAGGGACCAAAAGCAAGCACTCAAACAGATGCCTTGCACACCAGCAACCATGGCAGCACTGTTCACAACAGCCAGAGGCAGAACGATCCTAGTGTCTATCAGCAAACGAGTCACAAACAAAAGATTTAAACACAAGGAAAGGAGTTGTAATGCTTGCTAGAACATGGATAAACAGTGAAAGCAAACTTAAGTCAAACACAAAAGGGCAAACATGATTCCAACTATCTGGGAAACCTTAAATAGCTAAACTCAGAAAGCAGGAAGACAGGACACAGAGGCCAGAGAGAAAGAGCAATGGAAAATTAGTGTTTAATGATGGAAGATGGTGAGGATAATGGCTGCAAAGCTCTGCCAACGTACACTGAAATGTAACCTTCAAGATGATGAAAAATGCTTTCTTAAGTAAATTGCACCATATTAAAAATCTTTTAAAAGAGATTAAACTATATGTTCATCTAAATAATATATTAAGTACCTACTTGATATTAGTCCCTAAGTTGTAGCTATGGTTTATATGCAATTCAGTATATGTTTCATGCACACAAAGTTAAGCCATAAAGCAGCCTATATATATGGTGGCCTACAACCATCTGTATCTCCACTTTCAGAGGATCCAACACCCTTTTCTGACCTTTGAGGATACCAGGAGCCACACACATGGTGCATATGCATAAGCATGTGGGCAAACACTCATATACATAAAATAAAACTCAAACTCAGAGATCTGCCTGCCTCTGCCTCCCGAGTGCTGGGACTAAAGGCATGCGCCACCACCGCCCAGCTCAAAATTAGCACTCTTAATTGTAAAGAGTCCCTTTTAAGTTAATGTGAGTGACATGCAGATAACCAGGGAAGTGCTGCAGTGCTTCCCATAGCCCTCACAGTTCATGCTCCTGGCCTTAATTGAGTAGTTCTAGTTTTCCCTAGCTTCATCTTTATAAGAGACTATTTTTAAATGCCACATAAAATTATGTATAATATAAGACACTAGTGTTTGTTTAGGGTATTTGATTGGTTTATAAAGATCATCTTGGGAAAAAAAATCTTTTTTTTTTTTTTGGTGACCTTGCAATGCTAATCAATCATAATGGAATGAATTCATCCCCAGCTCGTCTTTGATTTTTTTGTTGCACAGGATGGCCTCAAACTTGTTATGAAGCTCAGGCAGACCCTGAAATTGTGGTTCTCCTGCATCAGCCTCCAAAGCAGGTAAGATTTAAAGGGTAAGCCATGGGAAAATATAAGAAAAATCATCTGAGTCAAAGAATGGTTGGATACTCATTTTCAAGTCCCATCTAGTCAACGGCCAATGTTTTCCTCCTATCAGACTTGTATAAAAATCCATGTTATTAAACAAGCCCGCTCAAGCCCAGTCTGAGTATTTCAACACTTGACTGCTGTGGTGTGAATGAGAATGTCACTCATACACTCCAGGGTTTGAAGGTGTGGTCCCTATTTGGTGATATTGTTTGGGAAAGATTCAGGAAGTGTGGCCTTGTTGAACCAAGTTGGTCACTGGAGGAGGGCCTTACAGTTTGCTCTCTCTGCCGTGTGCTTGCTGGTGAAGATGTGAGTCCTCAGCTTCCTGTTCCTGTCACTGTGCCTTCACTCAGCCATCATGGACTCCTTCCCTCTGGAACTGTTAGCCCAAATAAACTCTTTCTTCTATAAGTTGCTTTCATCATTGTATCTTATCACAAAGAAGTAATGAATACATCTACAGATTCCTCCTATCCTAAAATCAGTGTTATAGTGTATGATCTGCTACAGTGAGAATAACCCCTTTAGTCCACTCCACATACCTTACACTGTTAGGGTCGAGGGCTCTGTGTACAAGTTTGTTTCCTTAGGTGCTAATCTTATTCCCTAAAGAACACATCATTTCTTTGTAATGGCCTTTTGTTGGGGGGATGAGGGTGAGGATGAAGCTACGTCTTACTGCAGTGATCAATACATTACTATTGTACTCACAGATAAATCCATGTCTCCCAATCTTTTTTGTTCCTGCTCAATAACAGACTCTAATACTTTATAGTAAAGCATTTCTGCAAAACGAAAATATTTGTTGGCAATTTCTGTTGAAATAAGAAAAATCACAAAAAATTAAATACAAATTAAGTAAATATCATGGAAAAAAATTGATCCCTCCCTTCTCTATCCACAAAATAAAATCTAAAAACCAAATCCATACTTTCAATTATTGTAATTAAATTTATTTATTTAATGTATATTGGTATTCTGCTTACACATATATCTGTGTGCCATGTGTGTGCCTGGTTGCCCAAGAGGCAAGAAAAGGGCATCGGATCCCCTGGGACTGGGGTTATAGATGCTTGTGAGCCATTGTGTGGGTGCTGGGAATTGAACCTGGGTCTTCTGGAAGAGCTCTTAACTGCTGAGCCAGTGCTTTTCAACCTTTCCATTGCTGTGACCCTTTAATACAGTTCCTCATGGTTTGGGGAGGAAAATTATTTTCACTGTTACTTCATAACTGCAATTTCACTACTGTTATGAATCGTAATGTAAATATCTGATATGCAACCCCTGTGATATGCAATCTGTGGTCTTGACCCACAGATTGAGAACCTCTGTATTAAGCCTTCTCTCTGGCCCACATCCATACTTTCTATAGTTGATGTTTCAATTATCCCTAAAAATGTCTCAATATTCCTTTTTCCCTTTTTCACTGAGTCAGGGCGCACTCTATAGCCCAGGTTGGCCTTTAGCTCTAATCACTAGTCCTGCCCCAGCCTCCCAAGCACTGGAATTACAAATATGAGCTCCACAACTGGCTTAAGTACCGTTAATGTTAACATTTTCATATTTTCTAAAACTGACACGAAAGCAGCATATAAAGAACTTAGTGTCTCTGCATGAGACACACACTATCACTGTCTCTGCATGACACACACAATCACTGTCTCTACATGAGAACACACACTATCACTGTCTCTACATGAGAACACACACTATCACTGTCTCTACATGAGAACACACTATCATTGTCTCTACATGAGAACACACACTATCACTGTCTCTACATGAGAACACACTATCATTGTCTCTACATGAGAACACACACTATCACTGTCTCTACATGAGAACACACACTATCACTGTCTCTGCATGAGAACACACTATCATTGTCTCTACATGAGAACACACACTATCACTGTCTCTACATGAGAACACACTATCATTGTCTCTACATGAGAACACACACTATCACTGTCTCTACATGAGAACACACTATCATTGTCTCTACATGAGAACACACACTATCACTGTCTCTACATGAGAACACACTATCATTGTCTCTACATGAGAACACACACTATCACTGTCTCTACATGAGAACACACTATCATTGTCTCTACATGAGAACACACACTATCACTGTCTCTACATGAGAACACACTATCATTGTCTCTACATGAGAACACACACTATCACTGTCTCTACATGAGAACACACTATCATTGTCTCTACATGAGAACACACACTATCACTGTCTCTACATGAGAACACACTATCATTGTCTCTACATGAGAACACACACTATCACTGTCTCTACATGAGAACACACACTATCACTGTCTCTGCATGAGACACACACACTATCACTGTCTCTACATGAGAACACACACTATCACTGTCTCTACATGAGAACACACACTATCATTGTCTCTACATGAGAACACACACTATCACTGTATCTACATGACACACACACACTATCATTGTCTCTACATGACACACACACTATCACTGTCTCTACATGAGAACACACACTATCACTGTCTCTACATGAGAACACACACTATCACTGTATCTACATGACACACACACACTATCACTGTCTCTGCATGAGAACACACACTATCATTGTCTCTACATGAGACGCACACTATCACTGTCTGCATGAGACGCACACTATCACTGTCTCTGCATGAGACACACACTATCACTGTCTCTACATGAGACACACACTATCACTGTCTCTACATGAGACATACACTATCACTGTCTCTACATGAGACACACACTATCACTGTATCTCATGAGACACACACACTATCACTGTCTCTACATGAGACACACACACTATCATTGTCTCTACATGAGACACACACACTATCATTGTCTCTACATGAGACACACACACTTTATCAGTCTCTACATGACACGCACACACTATCATTGTCTCTATATTAGACATACACACTATCATTTTGAACATAACAATTCTATTCCACTATGGCTTGGTGTTGGAGGTCTTTCAAAGACTTATGTGTTTAAGCTTTGGTACCTTTGGTGGCACTGTTGGAAGGTAGTGGGACCATTAAGAAGTTCTTAAGTCATCAGAGACATAGCCCTAAAGGGATTGTGGGTTCCTGGATTCTTGATGAGTCTGTATCCCTTGATCTCCCTGCCATGACAATTCCCTTCACAGAAGTCAAAGCAACTGTACTACTAATCATAAGCTGAAAGTTACAAATCAGGAGCTGAACAAACTTTTAGTTTTAGAAGTTAATTATCTTAGATATTTGGAGGAACAAGAGCTAACTAATACATACTATGTTAAGCAGTATATAACTGGTTTATTATTCTAGTATCCTTGGTTTTGATTCATGACATGAAGAAATTCCCAGGCCAGCTTTAGGCCTGTACCAGTTTTAGACTGAGAACTGCTAAAACAAAAATCCAAAATCTGAGACTTTTTTAAAATCAGCATCATGTCACATGATGTGTAAATCAAATACAAGTGCACTGAAAGGTGATGAAAAGGACTAGACTATATACAGGGTATATGAAACATAAGGTACTTTTGTCTTTAGATTTCAGTTCCATGTCCAAAATATTTCATTTTGTATATGCAACAATCTAAAGCTGAAAAAAAAAACCCTACATATTTCTGGTCCCATGCATTTCAGAGAAGGGAGACTCAGGCTGTGCAGCTTCTGTCTTTCTAGGTTTTTGTTTTTGTTTTTTTTCTATGCTGTTTTTCTATGCTGAAGAATCCAAATACAAAGTTCCAGCTTACAAATAAAACCTTACAAATCAAACAGCGCTAAAGGTCCAACATAACAAATTTAGATTAAGCCTTCTGTTTCTGAAAAAGGCCCAGAAATCACGTCACTGACGGAGAAGACGGACCACTACACCGCAGCCTTCAGTTTACAGGTCTAGTCTTTCCTTGTCTGCACGTAGTCAGATGTCTAGGTGAGGAGCAGTCTGGACAACAGTAAATCTTACCTTTAGCACAATTACTAGAATCCTCATCTGGCTGAAAATGCTGAGAATACAGTTCATGCATTTCTTTCAGTCTGTTAGCAATAGCATGAGTTGGGTCTCGGGAACATGTCCTAAAAAGTAATGTGAGATTATCTGATGTAACATGTTTTGGCCACAAAGAAATGCAATGTCTAAAAGTATAAATTTTGTTAACATATAAATAGAAAATGCTTTGAACAGACACTATATACTTTGCAAATGAATGAAGGAGATCCCATACTTTCTTTTCAAAGATGGGATTACTATTTCAAGTGGTAGAAGTATTTCTGTGTGAGGCTGTTCACTTTAAGTTTAGTGGACTTGATCTGGGGCTCACGTGATGCTGTGACTGACCCCAAAACCTTATATTTCCCATCATCAACAGCAACCAAACTGCCTTCAAGTGACTGTCTAGTGGGCAGCAAAACTTCTGGGAAAAACTCCTGGAAAAAAATTAAAATAATAAAGGGGTACAGAACCTATACTATAAGCACATATAAGCCAATATTGGCATTTTTAATCCCCCCATATAAAGCTTATTTCATTGACTTTTAAATATATTATTTGTGTGTGGAGAGTTTATATATGTGTATGTTCAAATATTTATGGGCACACATGTGTGGGGACCTGTGCAAGTGTGTGCTTATGTTTGTGGAATCCACGGATCAACCTCAGAGGTTGTCCCTCAGCAGATATACACCTGTTGTTAAAACAGGGTCTCTCACTGAGAACCTGGAGATCACTGATTAAGCTAGGGTGGCTGGCCAGCAGCCTCAAGGATCCACCTGTCTCCGACCTAGCACTGAGGTATTAAGCCTTTGCCACCAAACTTTTTATGTGGGAGATAGGGAGAAATGTCAGGTTCTTATATAAAGCAAGCACTTTACCAGCTGAAGCATCTCTCTCACCGTGCTCTTGTTCATTGTTTCTTATTAGCAATGTATGTTCAGAGCAGAAGTGTCATTCAGATCATTACCTCTGGGGCTTTTATAACAACTGTTTTAATCTGATCACAACTGTTTAATTTGATCATACACATACAGATATAAATCATCAAATTATAACTATTGTAAATTTAAACAACTATGTTTTAACTTGATCATATGCATGTATATGATTAAATATACAGACATAGCAAAACTTTAGCCAGTTTATAAAATTACAAAAGTTCCATACTTGTGATACAGAACTAGAGATAACTATAAAATAAAGTGTAGAATTTTATTTATGAAAACATACATATACTTTAAAGTTTATCTGTAGCAGTATTTTAATTGTATTTTAATAAATAAAGCTTGCTTGGTGATCAGGAAAGTAAAACAGCCACTCTGGTCAGCTGTACAGCCAGGCAGTGATAACACACACCTTTAATCCCGGTAGCCACACTAGTTGTCATACAAACTGGGCAGTGCATGCCTTTAATCCCAGTGGTGCACAACTTTAATCCCAGAACTAGAGAAAATTATAAGATGGGAGAAAATAGCTCTCAGACACAGTCTCATTCTGAGGTCCTAGAAGCAGGATCTCCATTTCGGACTGAGGTCGAGGTAAGAGCCAGTGGCTGGTTATTTTGCTTTTCTGACCTTCAGGTTGAACCCCAATTTGTCTCCAAGCTTTTATTAATCATGCATCATTTATCAAAAAAAGTTGGCTTTACCTGGCATCTACTGATAATATATAATTCTATTAATAATATCTAAGATTAAAGCTGTCATGACTAGAGATTATAAAAAGATCTGAAAGATTTGGCTATAATATAGGCTTTTATAACATACATCTAAAATGCTTCTCTTAGCTACTCTGGCAGCTGAGGCAGGAGAATAAGTTTAAGGCCAGCCTGGACTACATGGTGAGTTCAAGTACACAGACTTGATTTGTAACATGGCCGCATTCTGTAATGCAGGCTAGTCTTGAATTTATGATCCTCCTGCTCAGCCCTAAGTGCTAGGATCAGGGCCATGTGTCTGGTCAAGACCCTGTTTCAAAAAAAAAAAATTAAATAATTACTCCTTTGAAGGAACATCCAGACCGGTGTTTGGCAAAATTAGGTACTGTAACCTGGCCATACTGACACAGAAAATTAACTACTATATCATATCTAAGTCACAAAGTCACATCTCAGCATTAGATTCTACAGGCCAGTTTTCTTACTTTTTCATATGAGGAGGCGATGAGATAGAAAACACACTCAGATTATGCATAGGACTTTGTGTGCACCTAAATTCCCAGAATGTTTTGTCAATTGCCCACTATCAAATTCATTGAAAAGATAAAAATAAAATGCTTCTAAATTCAAGGCATTTAAAGGTCATCTGAAAAATCTGACTTAGGAAGAAGCCGCTGAAACGTGGACTGTTCAGTGTGAATCATAATCAAGTTTAAGAATAAAGAGGACTGTGAAATACAAAGGGAAAGTAATCATCCTTGAACTTCAGTTAGCCTAGTTAGCTATGGATGGAAACTGTTGAGGTTTATAGATAGTGTCTTCTTTATTCTATATTACCAGAATAAGCTCATATTGCAGGACATCTACACAACCAAACCATAAAGTCTTAGGAACTTTGGAATGGGCTTTCTCAACTCAACTTGCCTAAGTTATACACAGAAGTCCATTGTGAGCTGGAGATGTCTCTCTGCTGGAGGACACGCATGAAGCTGTGAGTTCCACCAGCCCTGCATGACTCTGGTGACAGCAGGAGACTCAGAGGCCTCAAGGTCATCCTCTACTACCTCTGCAGTTGGAGGCTAGCCCGAGTTATGCACAAACAAATAAAAATTACATTCCGCCTATTGTGTTTTTCTTGAAAAGTCACTGATACTCCTATGAGCCTTGGGCAGAGCAAAGAACTAAAGTCGGCCTTCCCAGGTGAGGAGTGTTCCACAGAGCTCGCAGAAACTAAGTGACTGACACACTGAGTGCTTCCAATCTTTTCAAATCTGAGCCACCCTTCAGAATTTTGTTCTAGATCAATTCCCTACACCGTCACTGACATTCCACCCCCTCCTTCAACTTTCTAAACAGCCGGAATAAGAAGTCTAAGATATTTGTAACCACTATCGTACCATCACCACTCTTTGAGGCAATGCCACTTCTAGCTTGCCGAGTTCCAGCAGGAGCAGTAAAGAGAAGTCTCTATATTGTGGTTCATCCAAAGCAGACTGTCCACAGATCCACCAGTGGGAAATCAGAGGCAGCAACTACCTACAAAACCTACTCACAAAATGTGGCCTCTAGTGGAAGAGTACAGAGATCTTACTGCTGGTACTGTGGCACTTGGTGAGCTATCAGAAGTCTCTGAACCTCTGACTCACAAACTCCCCTTTTCAAGTATGAGAAATTGCTCAAGACTTCAAAATAAATTTGTGCTTCCAAAACAGAGCTATTAGTGTTCTGCAAGAGGCAAGTGAACTTACCTGGTTGGTCTATTTGAAGGTAACTTTATGCCCCCAAATACCCAGCTATCAGGGTGCAAATGTGGAACCACCATGAGACGGCACGGAAGTACGTGCTGATAATCCCAGCACTTGGGAGTGGAGGCAGGAACACCAGAGTTTAGTGTCATCTGTGACTACTTAGAAGGCTGAGGTCAGTTTGGACCGCATTAGATCCGGACATACAAACATATTTTTTTTTCCTACTCTTCCTTCATCAGTAGTTCTTCTGAATGGGGTCAAAAGTATGTAAGTATAATATTGTGAGAGAAAAAACAGGTAACAGAAACAAAGTATTGGCTGTTCCTTTCACTTTTATGTATATGTGAATTTTTAATATAAATGTCGAGATGTAAAGTATTGATGCAAGTCAAAATGTTATTATGATCATGATCCAAAAGATCAACCTCTTAACAATTACAAAAGTATTTCCAGTTGGGAAAAATATTTAGCCCAGGTTGATGTCATATATGTTTATAATCACAGTTCTCAAGAAGCAGAGGCAGGAAGATCATAAGCTTAAGGCCAGTTTGGTCTACATAGTGAATTCCAGACCAGCTAGGACTGTTCAAAAACAAACAAACAAACAAACAGTTTGTAAAACAAAATTTGAAAAAAAAAAGATTTATAACTATTAGAATAATAAACCTGCTTTTTTCCAGATAATGCCAGAATTTTATTTTTTAATATGTAAATTTCCTTATTGATACTAATTATATAGTGTTTTAATATTTTTATTATACAGTAGATTCCATCTATGGACTGTATTTTTCTGAATTATCCTACATGTAAGCACATGTTTTTTTGCTTGATTGTTTGGTTTGGGGGTGCTCTTTTTAAGACCGACCTTTATGTAGTCCAGCTGGCCTCAAGCTCCTGTGGTGGAGGACAACCTTGAATTCCTGGTCTTCCTGCTTTCACTCCCAAGGCCTCGGACGGAGGCGTGTGCTGGCTGTGCTGTTCCTTTACATTTGCTGCTCACAAACATGAAACTACAGTGTCGACTCTAGTTACCGTCTGCTATACCACAGATAAATAAGTCCGAGCAAAAGAGGTTGTTTTCTACTTACATATCTTATTTAAAATTGCTTATTTATGAGACAGAGTCTCACTCTGTAGCCCAGGTTAGCCTCACACTTGTCATCTTCATGTCTCAGACTCCTGAGTCATGGAATTACAAGCAAATACCACCATGCATGCTTGCTTATACATTTTATATTGCTATATCATTTACTGATTAATGAGGCTAGCTATACAATGAATGCAAGACCGTGAAAGGGCAACTTGGTAGGGCACTAATACTGAAAATTTATGGTAAGAAATTGAAAATTGGTCAACAACTAACTCTTGGAAGACAGACAAAATTAAAACCCACCTGAGTATCTGTTCAAGCCTTTCACTGGGGGCATTCCTGAGGCCACTCAGCATGGTGTGAAGGCGGCTTAGGCTGTACGTAGTTGTGGAGACGGGGGTCACTGAAGGGTTGTTCTCCTGAACATACCTCACGCCAGTCAGTGGTGTGCAGATTCTAAGGGCTTTAGACTAGAGGACAAAAATTAAGTTTCCTTAAATTACACCACAAATAGGAATTCAAGACAATGAGATTTTCTATCAACATATTTTAGTATATCAAACATCGCCATCTTGAGAATTTAAACATAATTCCACCCAGAGCTTCTATTATCCAAACATGTTCTCCCAAATAAGAACAATACATACATAGTCTAGGCAACTAAAAGTTCTCTTTAGGTAAATCTTACAGCTGAAGTAAGCCTACGCCAGGGTAGTGTGACTTACACACACGGGCTCTGTCTCTCTAGGAGCCCCCCTCAGAGCCCATGCTCAGCACACAGGGAAGTCAGGACTGAAAACACTAAGAACGCCACTCCCACAGCTTCAACCCACTGCTGGGGAGTGACACTCAACGGCATGGAAGCAATGGCTGGAATCTGGCCTAAATAAAAACCAGTGCATCAAATTTACTTCAGAAGGTAAACATTTCAAAACTAAATAAATACTAAGTAAAAGGAAAATCTGATGCCCTGCAAGTCCTCATCAGTCACCCCCCAGACTGTAGTTCCTAGAATCCATGACAGTTCCTCTCAAGCAGACAGGTCTTCAGAGGAGCAAGCTGGTGAACATTTAACATGCATATGAAAAATATGTGAGCAAGAATTTAAACATGAATACATATACTAGCAAATCAGCTTTTCCAAATTTTTAAAGAAACTCTAAAAGGTTGTTATCTTAAAGCATTTTTAATACTCAGAATTCAGCATTTTCCCCGAGTACTGAAAGTTCTTACCCTAGACTTTGAAATGCTTAGCAAAGCTTTCACTTAGTAACAGAACAAACTGCTCTATTCTCAGGACACAGGAAGGCACAAACCATTCACTAAATAGAAATGAATATGTGTTCTATGTCTTAGCTACAGACATGAAGAAATTCTTATTATTATTTAAAGGCAATAAGATGGTCTGGGTAGATTAGGTGCATCAGATGGCTGATGCTATATTGGCTTCTTGCACTGCCCACATCCCTGCACAGGAGTCCTGGCTGTCCTGTGAGATAAAGATGTCCTGGATACATGTGAAGAAGTCATGGCAGCCAGCAGCACAGAAAGCAGTCTCACTCACAAGCAGCACTGGTTTCATAGAGTCTAGGTATGATCAACCGCTGCTTCCTGCCCGAAGTCCTCCAGGTCAGCGCGGGGCTTCCCTGTGTCATGGCACTAGTAAGGGGTTTAGCTCTGCAATTCCCTGCGCATTCTCTTACAGGGTACAGAGCTGATATAAAAAATACTAGGCCAGGTGTGGTGGCACACACCTTTAATCCCAGCACTTGAGAGGCAGAGAGAGGTAGATCTCTGTGAATTTGAGGCCAGCCTGGTCTACATAGAGAGTTCCAGGACAGACAGGGGTATAGAGAGATCCTGTCTCAAAAAATCAAAACAACTAGAATACACCTTTCTCTAGCAGAGACAGGTTTGGTGCGCTCCAGAACTCCGCCTTTAGATCTTTATTTTCCAACAACTCACCAATGGGAATCTTCATTTTCTGATTTTAACCATCCATGCCCAGCTGACTCAGAACACAAAACCACAACTCCAACCTCTCTGGGAAGCTCCAGTCATGCATCTCTGAACTGCCCACTCAGTGAGTCAACCAGGATCCCCAAAAGACATCTCAAATACAACGTGCTAATAACCCTCGCTTTAAATCCACCCCAGACTCGCGCTTCCCTCTTGACAAATATCAATAGTAGAAGTTTAGGGATAACCACTGTGGCGGGCACTGTACGTGGCACCAGCTGCAGCCCTCCTGGCACCTGTATTCTAACACAGAAAGACAGAGCAGTTCAATTACCTACTTATTTACTACGAGGCACCAACATCAGAGTAAGAGAAATGGAGTCTTGAGGGTGGGAGTGTGCTGGGCTATTGTTTTACAGGAATCAACTTAGCAGAGAACAGAAAAAATGAGGAAGTAAGCCACATGAGTATCTTGAAGAAACATGTCTAGGCAGAGGTGGCAGGGTAAAGGTTTTAGCTGGTGGCATGCTTGGCATGTCTGAAGAATGAGCAAAGGTGGAATGGTGAGGAGAACAGGAGGAGATGGACACACAAGCGACAGGACCAGCTCACTCAGGCCCTCACAGGACCCAATAATGCATCAGTAAGTCCTGTGGACGCTATTTCTAAAATGTGGTCCAAATACAAATATCTCTATAAACCAAGCCACCATGAAGAGTTGCTAAAACAGCCTCTTAACATTCTCTTGCCCTGAGCCCGCCTCTCCTAGGCCCTTTAAAAATGTTCATTAGATCATGTAGGGGTCGTCTTTCCAAATACTCTCTTGAAACGTTCCATCTCAACTACAGCCAAAGTCCTTACAATGGCTTCCAAAGACTAATAGGCCTCTTACCTCCTCCTTGCACCCTCATCTTGAGACTCTTCCCTTATGAACTATGTTCTTACCACACGGGCCTTCTCACCATGCCTCCAACATCAGACATGTTCCTACCTCAGATCTTAGGAGTTGGTAATCTGCCGGCTTCAAATCAATTCCATCTGTACCCAAGGCTTTCCTCCTCAGTTATCTCAGGACTCTATTAATACCAACCCCTCAGAGCGCTCCAGCCACCACATCTACAGCGGACCCCAAGTCCATATATTCTGTCCCACTCACAACACTCTATTTTATCTGTCCTGTGGACCATCATCCAACATATTCTATATTTAACTATTTGGTTAGCTATTGTCTACCTATTCCAGCTAAAATTAAGTTTCTTTAGGACAGGCTGCTGCTGCTGTTCTGTCCACTGCTGTATTTCTGAGAGTCCAGAACATAACCTAGCATATGAAAACATTTGAGTGTTATCAAATGGTGTTCATGTCTGTAATCTCAGCACTTAGGCAGCTGAGGCATGATTGCTATGAATTTGAGGTTAACCTGGGAAGCATTGTGAGACCTGTCTCAACAACAAAAAAGAAAAGGAAAGGAGAGAGAGAGAAGCAAGTGGACCAGTGTCAAGCCCAAAGCTTCTCAGTTTTGGGGAAGGGAAAATTAGAGTCACTAGTTTTCATCATCTTAAAATTTGGTTTCAGTTCATCAGAATTTTCTTAAAGATTAGACTGAAGATCCACAGGCGCCAATTAGAGTTGACTGATATTTCCTAAATGCCTCTTGTGTCTACCGTGTAGAGTGAACACCATGGCCCATCTTCCCAAAAGCAAAGACTGCCAGCAAAACATAGCTGTTGAGATTAACAGTCAGTTCCCTTCTCAGACCTAAGTAAATATTTGAAAGTTGGTGCTAAACCAAAAAATAAACCAATACGCTAACTTGAATTTTCTTTTCCTTACCACAGCACTTAAAGCATGCATACACGCAGGATTATGTAGAGCGAGCAGAGGTCTGTTTTCCCCTCATCCCAGTCCCCCTCTCCCAAGACCTTGAGACATGCTCATTACATCACACAGGGCTCACCTGTTTTCTACTTGGCTTGGCTCACCTTGTCAAGATGCTGCTGCAAGATGTCTTTCGCCTGCATTCGTTCCGCACTCTCTGGACCTGAGGCAGCATTCAGACACCGCGAGAGAGTCCCAACTTCCTCCTCAGCATCCTCGCCAAGAAATATCCGTTCATCCAAATTCCCAGCAGCTAACACATACTCTTCATAAGCCTTATTAACAGCCTTACTATGGGGAAACAGGGCCGTCATTTCAGCTCATGGTCCACAGCACATACTTCATTTTTACTATAAAATCTGGTAAGTTTCTCAAAGTCATATTTTAATAGAATAATTGCTCATTACAAAAGTTTGCTTTATTCTGTATGTCCAGCACACACTGAGCAGTGTATCAAGGTGTGGACCCTGAACCAACCTGCCTTCAATAAGCTAATAAGAATAGCAAATGATAGCACACATTCAATACGCTAAATAATACTAAACTGAGGATAAGCAATAGTGAGCCTGGGTGATCTATAACTGATATAAGATCATGTAGGAACACTTCCTCCGCTGTTCTTGGCACCTCTGAAGACTTGGTACTGTCACATTTTGTCACCTCTTTAGTTCCAAAAACCTGTCTTCTGTTCCCTTTTCTTAACTTTTTATTTTTTTAAACAAAGTAGCCTCCTTACAGTCTCCTTACCTCAGGTCCCAAGTGCTGGGATGTCAGACATGTACCCTGATGGCTGGCTGCAAAATCATTTCTTTTTTTTCTCTTTTTTTGTTTTTTTTTGAGATAGGATTTCTTTGTGTGACCTTGTCCATCCTAGAACTAGCTCTGTGAACCTTGCAAGCAGCCTTGAACTCTGATCCGCCTGCCTCTGCCTCTTGAGTGCTGGGATTAAAGACCAGTGCCACCATACCTGGCACAAAAGCATTTCTTAATTTCAAAATTTATAGTCTAAAATCCTGACTAATAAAACTTTAAGCAGAACAAAAACAAGTAGACATTTCTAGACCTGTTGTTTCCCGAGTTCTCCCATACAGTACTAAAAGCATCTGAGCACAGGGCACAAAGGCCGAGACTGAGGTCCCCCGCCCTGGGAAAACTCGGTGTCACAGCACACCGCAGCGCACTACTCACAAGCTCTCCCCAAAGTTGCCGGGCTCCAGGAAGCCAGTGAGATTTTCTTCCTTCCCCTTGAGGAGCTAGGATGAAAGGAGAGCTTTAGATTACACGCCACCAACTCTTTATCCAGAAAGCATGCTTATGTCATTGCTTACAAACCTTTTTTTCAAAAAGTTTCCTAATATAGGGTTTCCAGAAATGCTCCTTGATTCCCTTCGCCTCCAACACCAGGCCGTCGTGTAAGGAGCAGAGCTTCTCGATGACACAAGGTGGGTCAGAGGAAGGCTTAGAATCCTTAGGGTGGCAGTCCTCTGGTGAGCCTACGATGTATGAAATCACAGAACAGAGACAGGTCAGCATCAGTTAGCTAACATAAATATTCGTGGGTCTGCTCAGGATAGGATTGGCATGTGTATCTAATTTATACATGCCTCAGAAACTGAAGAGAGAGCTGTATATGTAGCATCCCCAGTACAAACAAACAAAAAAGGGCACTTTAGCCCAGACACATTGCCTCACAATATTCCAGTGGCCAGACTGCTGTGAATTGGAAGGACAGCCTGAGCTATAACATCCTGTCTCACATAAAGAGATGACTACTTACATTATAAATTAAATGTTTTTTTAAATGGAAATGAACAAAGTACATCACCACTCAAATGATTTATGTGACTATAGATTGTTAGAAAACTTTTTAAAAAGTTGTTGCAAGAATATCCAAAAAAATAAGAACTGTATTCTGCAAATGAGCTTTACATTCAAATTTTTAAAAATCCACTTAACAAATCACATAGTTCTGCCAGGTGTGGTGGTGCACGCCTTTAATCACAGCACTCAGGAGTAGGCAGGGTAGATCTCTGTGAGCTCAAGGCCAGTGTGGTCTACATAGCGAGATCCACAACAGCCAGAGCTTCAGAGACCTGTCTCAAAAAAACAATCATCATTGTCATCATAATAAATTATTTTATTTCATATAATAAATTATGTATTAATATATAACACACAACTATATTATATATTTATATGTTATATACAGCAATATGTATTATTATATGTAACAATAATATATTATTATTGTTATTATTAATTACCCAATTCGGGCTGGTGAGATGGCACATCAGGTAAAGCCCCACTTCCAAGCCTCGCACCCTGAGTTTGGTCCACGACAACTGATTCCCTCAAGTTGGTTTCTCACATGTGTGCTGTGGTATATACATGCCTCCTCCCTGCCCCCCCACTAAAATGTAACAACTGTTTTAATTACACACCTTAAAAATTATCCACTTTGACTTGATTATATTAGATGTATTTATACTCATTTACAGTGCACTCTTTCATAAGAACACAAAATTTTCAAAGAAAATTAAAGGAGGTAAAAATAGAAGAAAACATAAAATATCAAATGGAAGCAATAGCTACATCATAGGACTAGGGTGCCCTGGACTCAGTTCCTAATGGAAGGAAGAAGGAAAGGAGAACAGAAAGGGTAAAGGTCAAGTTTTCCTTGTCCAAAATGCTTGGACCAGAAGGTTTAGGGTGTAGACTTGAATTTCGGATACCTGCTTCATCTTTATTAGAACATGCATAATCTAAAGAATCTTAAATGGAATCTAAAATCTTATTTTTATTTTGTTTTTCTACTTTTTTGTTTGTTCTATAAACTGAAGATAACACTCTGGTAAGGCACGCAATCTGGCATGGAATCTATCTGCAGTCCTAATCTCAAACCTTCTGAGTAGCAGGTAATTACAGTAGCTAACTCCCTAATTCTGAAATCAACCCTGATAGATAGGGAAGTTGAAATTCTAATTGAAACCATGCCAAACTGACAATCAGAATTCTTTCACGGTGTTCTTCAAACAGAATCAGCAGTACTTGATATATTTAGTATATATAGTAGACTATACGTCCTCGGTATTCACACGTACGGTTTATAGCAATTACATCATTTAAAGCATAATGTATGCACTGCCGAAATGAGTGTGACTCTCATACTTGTCACCTAGAGGATAAGGATTTTGTTATTTTAGAATTTTATTTTCCTATAGCAAAAGAAGTGAAATGATATTCTTTAAGTAAATTCTTTTTTACTACCTGGAGTGCACAAAACTCACTAACAGTCAAAAACACTACCATGACTTTAGAGTGATCTTTGATACACTCCATTTCTAAGTTCTCATTTTTCAAAAGCTTCTAAAGTTCTCGCTTAAGACTAAATGATATTTTAGTGGTGGCATTTGCTTTTTTTTTTAAAGGGGGAGGGTTAAGGACTGGAGTGATGGTTCAGCAGTTAAGAGCACTGGTTACTCTTTCAGAAAACCAAGGTTCAATTCCAGGCACCCATGGTTCACAGCCATCTGTAAATCCAGTCCCACGGGATTTGACACTCTCCTTCTGGTTGGCTCTGAGAGCACAGGCATGCATGTGTTACACAAACACACACATGCAGACACAACACTCATATGCACAGGAAAAAAAAACTTTAGAGAAACGCAGATGTGCTGACTCTTCAGTCTAAGTACTCTGACAGTTCCACTGTGAAGTTCCGATACTCGGTCCTCTGATGCTAGCAGACCTAGATTAGGGGAACAATTCCCAAGAGTAAAATCCTGTGGAAACATGGGCTGTCAAATGTTTCACATATAAACTTACCTTTGAAATTAGGGTTCACGAGCTCTTTGCGATTAGAACACTGTAGGGCGTTTCCATAAACTAGATCTAACGCACACAGCAGCAGGTGGTAAGAGTTCACCAGATCATCACTAATCATGGGGAAGTTGCCTATAGGGTCACAGAAAGTCACAGAATTACACTGACATCCACTCTACAATAGTTTAAAATAATCACTTTCTTTCATTATGAGTGATAAAGTGTTTTGGCAAATTTACATTTTGGGGGACTGATATTTTAATGTATGTCTAAGAATTCAATGAAAACTAAAACTTTACTTAAATTCAATACACATTTAATAGGCATCTATTAAGTAGCTGGTAACTCACTAAAACTAATTATTGGTCTGGTCTTTGGATTTCTGAACACACAAAAATTTATCAACTCTCTTAAACTTTTTTACATAAAAAAGTTTTTCTACAGTGAAAATTACTAGAAATATTTCGAGGTAAACCACTGGAAAATGATTGGTGTATGATTTTTTTTCTCATATACATACTCTAGAGAAGAAAGCCTTTCTTCAGAGCCCTAATGGTAACATTTTTAAAATGCTTTTCTATACAGTAATAAACGTTTATACACATTAATCCAACAGAACAGGACTACAGACATTTGACTCAGCAGTCACTATCCCAAGGGTAACTGCCAATGCTTGTAGCAGAAAAATAAACATAGCCCGAGCCGACAAACTCGCCCTTTGTGCAGTGCTGGCTTAAGAATACTGAACAGCTCCATAGAAATTGCTAGCAAGTGTCTGTCTAAAAACTGTTGCCACACCTCTGCATTTTCATGCATAGTGCCGACCCAAAGGCATGAACCACACTTCCACACATAGTGTGTACCTTAATGTATGCATCACCCACGCTTGGTTTTGTCTCATTGGGTCTTTCTTAGACTTTCCTCCTTTGCTTCCTTCCAAAGAAAGTTACCACCTACCTTAGGTCTCTGGATATATGATTCTTTTTCTTTAGAGGATACTTTAAAGCAATAAATAAATAAATAAATAAAAGCCTGCTGCTGCCAGAAAGGCAAATGAATACTAAGAGTTTAACTCTGTATTGATATACTCCAGCTTACTTGCTTGCCTCTAGTATAAAAGGTCAAATATTAAAAATCTACTCCTATTCTTGTACATAAACTAGGAAGCCACACCCACTGGTTATAAGCTACAAAGCCACCACTGGCAAGTCTAAACTTGTTCCTGTGTGCACTTGCAGCGGAGGATAAGAACAGCAGCAGTCCTAACCAAAGGCTGAAATGCCCCGGCAGAGTGTTCTAGTTGAAATTCCAGGACAGTCTCCACACGGAAAAGTTCTCACTTCAGACCCTGGCCTTACAATGGACCTTACTACACGGGCTATTTTATTGTTTAATTAAGAGGTAACAAAAAAACGGAAGACTTAACCGCCAGATTTGGCTTACTTGTCCAGGAATGTGACTTTATGAAAACAGGAAGTGGTTTTCTGCTCAAAAAGCCCTTCGTGTGACAGCTCAAACTTGTCGCTTGCCATACCAAATCCACAAACATACAAATAACTAGCTTATTATTGGGAATGAGATCACCTAAAATGTCCATATGCTGCATGCTCAGTCTATCTTCCCCACAAATAAACCCAACACTGAATGAAAACAACTAAGTTACCCACGAGAACTGATCCAGGCACACCACAAAGTCACTGAGCTGTGTTGTGCACCTGAACGCAGTACTTGGAGGCAACAGAGACTCCCAGAAACTAAGTGTGGTGTCTCCTGCCTAACTGAGACTCTGCCATCATTTTAATAGTCCTTATGCTAGCAAATACATTTGCTCCGAAGAACACAAAATAGATTAAAATCCTAGTAGCCAGGCAGCCATCCAATACAATAAGATTACTATCATATATAATATTAGTTATGCAGACTAACATGGCAGCCTTCACAGAAAGTTTATATGCGTCTAAACTTTTATTTTATGCCACTGATTTATGTCACATTTATTTTATTTTGTTTTATTTTTGTGGTGCTTAAAAGGAAATCCAGGGTCTTGTGCACACTAAGCAAACACCTACCCCGGGCCACATCTGTGACTTCTGACCGCACTAAAGAAAGCGGCCAACATCATTGTTATGGAGAGCAAAACTAAAAAGCTCACAGAGACTCTGCCTTCAGCGGGGCGCACAGCTGATGGAGGACTCCTCTCCCTTCACACCTGGAGACCACACCTGCACGTTCAGCATCAAGCTGGGAGACAAGAGATCTGGATTCAAATCCCAGCATTAGTCTTAACATTTCTGGGCTTTAACTGGCTAATCTTGAAATCAAGTCATTTGAGATAGTTGATCTAATAAAGGGAATCTCTTATACAGTAATTTTCCTTTACCCATGATTTTATTTTTATAGTTTCAGTTACCTTTGATCAATAGACAAAAAAAAAAAGGAAAATTTAAGAAATAATTCTCAGGCAGGGATATCTGTAATCTAAGACTAGGGAGACTGAAGCAGGAGGGTCACAGGTTCCAGGTCAGCCTGGCCTACATTGTAAGCCTCAGACAAATAAACACTAAGTTTAAAATTGCATGTTTTTCTGCTCTGTCCAGCTCTGTGCCACCTGGAACATGAATCATCCCCGTATTCTGCATATCCAGGTTGAAGATGCTATGCATCCACTGGCCAATTAGTTGCTTTCACGGTTACTTGATCTATTGTCTCCATACGGCAGTGATTTTTTTCAAGTAATCTGTAGCTTACTTAACAATGACCCTAAAATAATTCAGCAACTTGCCAAAGAAAAGACAAAACATGGAAGTGTTTCCACTAAGTGAAAAGATAAGTGTCCTTAATTTAAATAAAAACATAAATTTATTGGAGAGATTGCTCAGCGGTTAAGAGCACAGTTGCTTTTTCAGATAACTCAGGGTTTGGCTCCCAACACCCATATGGAGCCTCACAACCATCTCTATCTCCAGGTCCAAGATATCAGATGCCCCCTTCTGACCTCCTCTGGTACTGCACGCACACGGTGCACAGGTATACATGCAGGTAAAACATCCATACATATAAAACAAAAGTAAATCTTTAAAAGAATCATATGCTGATGCTCCTAAGAGTACAATAAGATAATTGATAGGGGTAAGGTTTATATAACCTCTATATACCAACATAACAGCTCTGTTCTTATTACCACTAATGTCATTTATCTCTTATTGTGCCTAATATTTAAATTAAACTTTATGTAGGTATGTATAGGAACCCCTGTATAGGAACTTCTTTGGGTCCAGGTCTTAGAATATCCTGAATACATAAAGGTGGGACTATGGTAAACATGAGGCTCCTTCCAGTTCTGACAATTTGCATCTTATTGAACTATCTTAGTGGCAGTCATATGCCACAGTCTATAGAGAAAAAGCTAATGAATATAACTGTACCTTCTCCCTAGACTGTTAAGAATTATCACTATATGGAAATGTATTTCCGCACGTGCAACCTTGGATAGAGTAACAGAATGAAAAGAGGAGAGAAAAAGATTCTAAGTATCTGATTAAGTTTAGACACACGTTACCTGTGGACATGCAGAAAGTCATCAGAACCACTGCGAGGACTTCAGTCCCACCCAGTGAATCAGACACATCTTATGGAGATCAGAGCCCTGGACACAAGCTGATACAGAGTGGGGCTCCATCCACAATTCACATCACAGGGATGTGGGACAAGTATAAAATGAAAAGGTGTGCCACCTAATACGAGGAAATGTGGGTACTGTAAAGATAGTCTAAGGATCCTTGTAAGAAAAGTGGGCCTTTCTTCCTGATCCATAATACAGCTGATAGTATCAGCACCTGAAATGCAGGTTAGCAATTCCTATCCAAATAAATGTTACTCTTTGCTTACCTTTTGCATATATAAAAAGCACCCAGCAAAAGTGGAAAATTTCAGATGTGGTACAGGGCTGTCGCCTGGAGGGGGAAAAACAAAGTCGTAAGACAAATACAAACATAACAAAGAGACATCCAAAATGACTCAAATCAGTGGAGACAAGCCCACAGACACAGGAGGGAAAGCAGACTTGGCTCGACGGGGAAATGAGGAAGAAGCTCTGCCCCAACCAAATACTAAGAGCAAACAGCTGGGAGGCAGAGAAAGCAGTTCGGGGAACGGGGAGAGACTTTCTAAGTCTTTGGGGTCAAGATACGTAAGGCACAAAATAAAAAGAAAATAACCATTCCTGTTTTTATAAAATCACATCCCTGAAGCCAACTCTAGAGGTTAAGTCTTTCCATTTTTCTGTTTTTGGAAACAGGACGCGTAATCCAGGCTGGCCTTGAACACCTGACTCTGCCATGTACTAGGATTACAGGTGGGTGTCATCATGCCCAGCTTTACAGACCCTATTTTAATAAGGATCAAGAAAAGCAGCACACCCCAGAGAAGAGTAGGGGACGTGGTGTAGTTCTGGCGCTAGCATGAGCAGCCACTTGCTTCTCCTGGCCTTTGTCCTTCACCCATCAAAGTTCCTGTATTTAGAAGTAACACTAGACTTAATCTACTCGGCCACAGTCACAATGAATAGTCAGAGTTGGACTTCTAAAAGTAGCTTCTTACTGCACTGAGGAGGTGGAAGCAGAAGACTCTATAGTTCATGGCTGTGCTTGGATATTTAACATGTTCAAGGATACCTGGGCTAGATGACACCCTGTCTCAAAAAAAAAAAAGGAAAAAAGATAGGGCCTTTTGCCATTGTATATGATAAACTAGTTATTGATTGGCCTCAAACATAAAATTTAGGCTCTTTTGCTTGTAATACATAAGCTACTCTAAATGTTAGCTCTGTAACATTAGGACCCCGGGGATACCTTGACTAACCTCCTTGCTCCCCTGTTCCCTCTGGCTTGTCACTTCTACACCTATTGCTAGTTCCTCTCTAAGACCCCATCTCTATCTCTAAAGTAATCTGCCTAAATCCTACCCATTTCTACTTACTCCATGTAAAGCCATCAAACTGGCTCATCTCGATTTCCTTTTGCCTCCCAAATCCCCCTTTTCCGTCTCTGCTGCACTCACAGTGCCTGTATGCTACTTCCTGCCCCTCATTTTACTGTCACCTCTCAGAAGAGAGACCATGGGTTGTCTAAATCCCCATCCCCTGCATGATACCGCAACAGTTATTTCTGGTTGCTGTGTTTGACTGTACATTACAGTCATACAAGAGGCAGTACAACCATGGTAAAGCAAGCGTTCTGCAGTAAGTCTACCCACTCAGCAGGTGCATGGATTGTCCTAGGCGCTTATTTTCCCATGCCTAACAAGTCAAAAACCTATAAGCTTGTCATAGTACATGTTTGCATCCGAGAAGAAGCTTGCCTCATAACACACACACAGGTAAGTGCCACATATCACTAGTGTGACTGTTAGCAGAACGTGCTCGAAAGTGCCGCGAGCATGAGTCTTAGAGAACGTGTCTAGCATTCATGAAACCTTGGATTCAGTTTCCAGCACTCACCCATAAGTACAGAATAGTATAAATGTAAAATTCCTTGAAGAAATAATACAAGTTCTAATAATAATTAGAACTGGGTGATATACACGCATACCAAACAAGTGTGTAGGAAGTTATTTTTAGACATTCTAAAGGAAAAAAGCTATTGTATTTTTTTTTAAATGATCATGGTAGCCTTACTAAGACTCAAAGACAGCTTGAAACGAAAGTTCAGAACATATCATTACAAAGCTGGGGACAGTGGGGCCAAGGAGAGCTCCCCTCAGGATAGGACAGAACAAGCTTGAGGCCAGCCTGGGCTACGTAGTGAGTTTAAGTCTAGCCTGTCTACACAATGATATTCCTTCCCCCATTTCAGGGGCTTTGGATTTTGTTTTGTTTATCTTTTTGGCTGAGACAGGATCTCTCTTGTACAGTCCAGGTGATCCTCCTGCTTCGGCCTCCTTAATGCTGGAATTACAGTTGTGTGTAACTATACCCAGCCTCTTGAATATATTTTTTTTGTTACTGTTGTTGTTTTTCTACACATGATTTCTCTGAGGACGCTGACCATCCTGGAACTCACTTTGTAGATCGCCTGCCTCTGCCTCCAAAGAGTTGGGACCAAGGTGTGCACCACCACACATGGCCCTCTTGTACATTTTTTAATTTCATTTTACATTCCAATCGCAGTTCTCCCCACCTTGGATATTTCTTATGAACACTGTTTAAAAGGAAATTCCTTGATACACTTTAAGAGCAGAATTTCCCTCTCTCTGTTTTAAACAAACCTGGATGTTAAAGGAGGGCAGTTTTTAATCTTGTAATTGCCCACAGCTGTAAAGACCGAAAACACTAAACCAGATAAGCTGATTTTGTAGAAGTGGACCGGAAAACAAGGCCAGAGTAGTTGAATTCCCCTATTCTCACTCAGTCTAGTTTCTCTGATGCTGATTGGCTACGAACATCAAACTGATTTCAGGGGACTATTATTCATTCAGTTTGACAGAAAGGTCAAATAATAGAAATAGAAAATATGAGTATCTGATCTATACCAAGGAAGTCAACCGGAGAAAGTACTTAAGGTCTGATTTGTCAACCTGCATAAAAATAAATAAAAAAGGAAATTTTATATCAGTATAAAACCCAAACATTTTGCATTATGAAAGAAGCCAGACAACTTCTAACATACAGCAAACAACAACAACAAATTATCATTAAAAAACAAAACAAAACAAACAAAAAAACATTTGAAGTCAGGTGTGGGAGCACACATCTTTAATACCAGGACTGAGAGGCAGAGGCAGGCAGATCTCTATGAGTTGGAGGCCAGTCTGGTCTACAGAGTGAATTCGATGCCCCAAGTCTACAAAGTGAGACCCTGTCTCAAAACAAACGAAAAAGCCCAACTTCTTAGGAAAAAGTAATTTCTGAAATCATGTTTCCTTTTAAAGAGTGAGGAACTGCGCTTCAGAGGAAGGCTGCTCCCAAACACACACAGAAGCTTACCTCTGCTTTCGTCCTCTTTGCTGGCGAGGTTGTTCTTCTTGAGGATATTTAAAAATATCTTGAAAAATGGGTTCATATTTCTTAAAAATCACAGCAGACACAGTGAAGTTTCTTTCTAATCTTTCTGTATGTTCTCTGAATTGTGGGGGTAGATTTGCCATGTCTTCCCACTTCTTCATCTTGTTAAAAAATTCAATTAAGCTGATATCAAAAATAAAATTGAGTACCTTAGTAACATAAAGGTGATGTTGTGCCAATACAATTAACAATACACCCAAATCACTTCATCAAATCATATTTCGGCAATGACAAAATCAACGCATGCCTTTGGCTAGCTTTACCTCCTACCGTTTGTCTATCACTCCAATCTCCTAATCAACTTTGCTCAGACTATGATTGCTTTGGTTCCCGTGTGCGTGTGTGTGCATGTGTTCACGTAGGCAGTGTGAGGAAATACACAGGAAGCCAGAAACTGATGCTGGGTGTCTCCCTCAACCACTGTCCACCTTATTGCTTACATTTTCCTGCTGGGTGTGGCAGGAGCTCTTACCCGTGCCTTCATCTCACTGGCCCCTGCTCAGATCTTTTAAATACTAAAACTGTGGAGCTGGAGAGATGGCTCAGCAGTTAAGAGTGTTTGCTCTTCTTGTAGGACCTTGGTTCAATGCCCAGCACCTACAAGGTAGCTTATGACTCTGTCCCACTTCAGTCCCAGGAGATCTGATGTCCCCTTCTGACCTCCGTGGGCACTAAACATGCACAAGACACACGTTCATACATAAAGGCAAAGTACTCATACACATAAAATAAAATGAATGTTAAAAATTTTTTTAAAATAAGATGCTAAGTTAGTATGGAAACAGCCAAAATTTCAATGTATACATCTTCCTAATCTCATTCTCTACTTCCCCCCAAAATATAACCCCCATTCTGACGTTAATTTTCTATACTTATATTCATTTAAAAAAGTAGTATTTTTTGTTTGCTTTTACATTTTACGTAAAATGTATCATATAAGTAGCATTCTACAACTTAATTTTCATTGAATGTTTCTGAGATTCACTAGTGTCAATACATGGAAATACCTAACTCATTTATTTAATTACTAAAATCATCCTTCCTATGAACATAAAAAAACTTCCTGTATTCACTCAACCAAGAGAAATTCAGATTACTAATAATTTTCTTTTTTTAAAAAAAAATGGTGCAGGGCTGGAGAGGTGTGAGTGGTTAAGAGCACTTGGTGCTCTTGCAGAGAACACAGTCTGTTCCAGCATGCACATGGTGACTTACAACCACCGGGACCTCCAGGTCCAGGGCATCCAGTGCTTTCTTCTGGCCTCACAGACACACACATACATGCAGAAAAACACTCATGCCCATACAAAAATCATGAATTTTCAAATGGTGTAATAAACATATTGGTATGTGGACAGGACTTTCTTTAGGGTCAGAGAACGTGCATTTTCCGTTCTACACATTCCACATACATTAAAACACAAGCTTCATGCACATGTATCTGAGCATAATGCCACTTGATAGGCTGGTCTACCTTTCTGATTCATTCTATCTTCAAAAGCTCGATATCTTTATTTAAATTCATATTAACATTACACAACGAGTCATAACCTTTCATGCATTAAAATGCAAATATACTTGTTAGTAAAATATGAGCCTGACTCTGAAATAGCAAAGGAAAACCATGACTCAGTTTCTAAATTCGGCAGTCGACATGTTAGAGGCTCAGAGACTAGTATACAAAGAGACCAGTCACTGTCAGCGGGATTTGTAAGCTTTTATTTTAGCTACATTCTCCTTTTCAAGCTCTAATAGTTACCTCTGCTCCGAACAGCGAAGGATTCTAGTTAAAGACACATAGTTTCCTTCAACGGTCCCTTTGCTTACAGTTGGGACAGATTTTCTGCAAGCCACATATAAGGCACATGCTAACCAGTGAAGATCATTCCCCTGAAAAAGAAAACAGTGCTTAAAAACTTGTCCAGAGTCACTCGGATTTTTAAGGTCTGAAGTCGCCCCGTTTCTTTCCCACGGCTGTAACAACGGAGACGGGTGAATTCGATGTGTGAACAGATGAAAATATATTATTTCAAAATACACCGACCCAGCAAAATGACACGGGCATAACCACCGCGTTATAGGTAATTGTTTATAGGTATTGCTTAGCCTTCGAATCGTGGGCCTCTATGCCCTGCTTCTTCCATAAGCTATGTATAAAATAAGAGGGCCGTACGCACAGGCAGCTGATAAACAATCCGGACTTCCGTGTCACTTCCCATTGGCCCATGCATGGGAGGTGCCTGCAGAGTTGACAGGCACTGGCCCGAATGGCCATTTTTTTGTCAACCTCAAGCCCCGTCCCAAGCACGGGACACAACAAACCTATAGGTGCGTGACAGCCAAAAAGAGTGCCCGAGCTCGGCAACAAATGTGTGTGTCTACACCGGTTTTCAACTGCCAGGGAGGGTAGGGAGAGGGGTGACAGATCCTAAGCCGTTCTCACACGTAACTTAACGAGAAACTTAACGCGTCTCCTCTGACCGCTGCAAAGCCACGGCAGAGCAAACGACCAAGCGACCCCAGAGCCACACCGAGCCCCCCGACCTCCCCGGATGGTCTGCGCGCGCACCTCCAGCGTGTAGCTCTCGCTCATGCTGCGGTAGCTGCCCCAGGCCTCAGCTCGCGCCGCCTCGTCCATGTTGAGGCGGCTGCACAGCTCCTCGAACCGCTGCTGGATCTGAGGGCCCGGTGACCCCGCGGGCTGAGAGCCGTCTGCGGCGTCGCCATCCTCCTCCTCCTCCTCCTCCGAGCTGGCTGCGGCCGGAGGAGGAGGAGGCGGTGGCGACTGGTTGCCTCCAGATGGCATGGCGCACCGGAGGCCGCGGCTCTTCAGATGCGCCGAGGGCCCGGGCCCGCAGCCATTCAAACCGCGAAGCGCCGGCCCGTCAGCAGCTTGCACCACGACTGTGCCGCCCCCAGAGCCCCTCCGGCCTATGCGGGCACCCGTAAGTCTGAGCACAGCCTGCTGGGAAATGTAGTCTCGGCCGGCATCTCAGGGGGACCAAAAGTCGTGGAAGAAGGAAGAGCAAAAGGAGCTGTGCTTCATGTCGGGGTAAATGAACGCTCCCTCCCATTTTAAGTGTCTCTCAACAGTGAGACCATTCAGAAGGCTCTTCTGAAGAGAAAATAACCAAGAAATATTGACAGGAGAAGCCTTAGTATCTAAGCTCTTCGCGCAAACACTTCCTTTTCACCTAGAATTTTTCAGATAATAGTAAAGATTAAAAGGTCCAAAGTCTGGATAATAGCTCAGCTGCTCGTTCTAGTTTGTGTTACTGTTACTGAGAAAACACTGACTGAAACCAACTCGGGGAGGAAAGGGCTTATTATTTTAGGCTTCACAGTCCATCACTGAGGGAGGCTAAAGGAAGACACTTACAGGCTAGCTCCTCCTTGCTGGGTCGGTTGCACTTCTAAAACAGCCCCCCATCTGCCTAGGCCAATTCAACTGAGAAGATTCCTCAAGAGACGCTCCTGTGTCAACACTATCTATGGCAAAGATATATTGGGCCAAGAAAGATCTCATTAGTCAAACAAAAAACAAAAAACAAAACAAAACAAAAAAACCTCTCAACCAAACAAGTAGTCATTAATGTGTTTTCAAAGATAACTTAAAGATTATATTAGCCAATACACTTGCAGGATTGACATCTTAGTGACACCCCTAATTTCCAGGCCTTTCACACTTAAAGTTGTGTGAGCAAGGACAGGCAACGGGAAATACAACTAAACAAGGTAGCAGTGCAGACTGAGCATGCTCAGAACCTAGGACTAGGGAAGCTGATCCTTTGGAATCTAAGATGGAAAGGTGTTTCAGGACAGGTGACTGAAATTAGGGAAATTACCTGGCATGCGTGAGAAGGAAACACAAAACATGTAACAAACCTAACGAAACACGCAACAAAGCTGGTTAGGAGTTTATTAGAGGGGGCGAATACAAGACTAGGGAAGTCAGTGTGGAGGGAGAGAGAGAGAGACAAGAGAGAGGGGAGAGAG